AGATTGGAGTAACAGTTGAGCTCATGTACAGAAGATTCTGGAATTCCTGTAGCCAAATTCAGACCTTTATCAACTTGTTTTAAGGGTCTCTTCCTAGGAATATAATAGACTCGGGTCACAATTTCTAGATTTATTTTTATGCGTACCACGATTATGAAATGGAAGGAGAAAATAAATGCACAAAGACTCAATTAAACATTTAGCAACTGGGGCTGTATCCCAATGTGTAATTTATTTGACTAACTTCATTTAAGAGCTACAGCTGCTAAGCAAAAGGTCAGCAGTTCGAATCCACCAGCTGCTCCTTGGAAAACCTATGGGGCAGTTCTACTTGGTCCTGTAGGGTTGCTATGAGCCGGAATCGACTTGACAGCAAAGAGGTTTGTTTTGTTTTTTAACTTCATTTTAACAAATATTAAATCCCTTCATTTCAATAGGACTCGTTAAGTTTAATTCATTAAAGCCATACATGTTCCAGAATGTTTATAAAAGGCATTTATATCTATCATATCTATAAAACCTGTTGCCATCGAGTCGATTCCTACTCATAGCGACCCTATAGGACAGAGTAGAACTGCCCCGTAGAGTTTCCAAGGAGCACCTGGTGGATTCAAACTGCAGATCTTTTGGTTAGCAGCTGTAGCTCTTAACCCCTACGCCACCAGGGTTTCCATCATATCTATAGAAAATATAAATCCAATCTTAAATTAAGGAAAAAAGCATCGATAGAACATGGATCACAGTACCAAAAAAAAAAAAAAAAACCCAAACCCCCCAGAACAAAAACCCATTGCTGTCCAGTCAGTTTTGACTCATGGCAATCCCATGTGTTACAGAATAGAACTGAACTCCATAGGGTTTTCTTGGATGGAATCTTTATGGAAGCAGATCTCCAGGCCTTTCTTCTGCAGTGCAGCTGGGTGGGTTTGAACTGCCAACCTTTTGGTGAGCAGTCGAGTACAAACTGTTTGCACCACCCAGAGACCTTGGGTCACAATACAGGGAAACAGAAATCAGAAATTTCCTGGTAAAAGTTTATGTTGTAGATTCTAACTTCACAGAAAATGTTTAGCAATTCAGATTTTAAAATCCATCTTAAGCTGGATATTACAAATGGGGAATTTGTTATTTCAGTAACTGAAAAATCTAAGGGTAGAGATCTTTTTCAATTCTGGTATGCCTTGATCCAGGGGTTCAAAGAATATTGACAAGGTTAGGTCTCTCCCCATTTTTAAAGTCTGCTCTGAAAAATGGCTTCAATATTGGCTTCAATCCAAGGCTTCAGCCTGAGGCTCCAGCAGCTCCAGGTCCAGCTGGAGTACTATTATGTCTAAATAGTTCAAGAAAGAAGTCCCGAAATTGAGACCCATGGGCCCTTGCCCTTCCCTAAACCAATCACTATGGCCAGGAAAATGGAACACTCTGATTGGCTAGATCTGGATTGTGTGACCCCATTTGAAGTGGATGAGGAAGTTGGAGTCAAGCTCACCTGAACTGTGAACTTCAGATGAGAGGATTGATTTCACAAAGAAAACCCATGGTGTTATTATCAGAAGATGGCTTGGATATATTGGGCAGATGACACAAAACATGAGATGTCCATTACAATGTTTCTAGGCCCTTCCAAGGACAGAGGGGGCTAGTAGTCTCTCTTTAGACCCTATCATCCTATTGCCGTTAGCTCATTGGTGGGCTCTTCTCCAATCCTGTCTTATCTCCAACTCCCTTTGCCATTCATCCTAACTAACCCATGTCCTGTATCATCCATTCAATTGTCTTTCTGGGACAGATCTAATTTCAAATATTCTGTCCTAGGGCCCCCATAAGCAAAATTCCTATTGAATAGACCACACGTTATGACTGGTCTTTGCTTTGGAAAATATGTTCCTAGTATGTAGCGTCCCTGGAAAGAAGCACAAGAGAAACTGACACTGAGTCTTCCCAGGACACCCTTCACCACCAAAAGCTGAGGTATGTCTGAAAAAGGGCTAGGATGCAGCACACTGGGATTTACTTAACAACCGGTGAGTTTGTTCTTCCCTCTGCCTAAAGCAAAGAAGAAACTAAACCTGTAGAAACTGAAAGCTTTGACAGTGGCCCAATTACTGATTGTGTGAGAGAGAACTTGTGCAATAGTGGTGGGTAGAAAGTCTGCAGGAGCCGGCTCTGCCCTGCTCAACACAGAGCATGAGTCTGCACAGAGGCAGTTAGACAAAACCATGATCAGCCTAGAAAAGACAGCCTCAGTAGAAGTCTTTGGGTACTTGGACAAGTGCACCACATGATGGCGATATCAACAGAGGATGGTAGCAACCCTCAAAGCATTCAAGTTCCAGCAAGAAAAGCTCCGCACAGGAGGGAGCTTTCAAGCTGAGGGCATTGTTTGGCAATGACCCAGCAAAACTCAGGGGTTATTTAGGAGCGAGAAGGAGCCTATATAACCTTTTTCAAGTAAAAATACTCCTCTCCATTTCTGTTTTCTCCCTGAGCCATAGTCATAAGTGGGGAGGGGTTTGAGGGGACTATACTTGGAGGGGAGCTCTGGTGGCACAGTGGTTAAGCGTTTGGCTGCTAACCAAAAGGTCATTAGTTCAAATCCACCAGCCTCTCCTTGGAAACTCTATGGGGCAGTTCTACTCTGTCCTATAGGGTCGGTATGAGTTGGAATCGACTCGATGGCAATGGGTTTGGTTTTGTTTGTTCGGTATGTGGAGGGAGATGCCAAGTCACTTTAACTGGGATAAGGCCCCCATCTTCTTGGTAGCCATTCCAAAGTCCAACTGGGAAAAAGCAACTGTAGGAAGAATTCCATTATAACTCAGTGAAGGCTCAACAATAATTTAATAATATTTGACTGTTCTACAGGTTATTAAAAAAAAGCTAAGGAAGTGGAAGCTGGTTTTCAGTTTAGAACCAACAGGAGGAACAGGTATGGAGCCCCTTCTTGAAAATCTCCCTTCCTCCTTTTTCTCTTATATATTAAATTCAGGTTATGTACATATTACCGCATCAGACCTTGATCGAATCTGGGGGCATCCAGTTGGATTGTAGTGCTGAAAATGTATTTCTATAGGTTAACCAAAGTAACATGGTTCAAGTGTTGCTGAACCCTAGAAGGTGGGTTCTGTCCGGCACACTCAGACTTGCCAATAATCTGGGCACCGGCCTTTATTGCAATGCGAAGACCAAGAAGCCGGGAAGAATTTCCTCAGATCATACTCCCCGAGCTGTGGGGAAGCAGGGCTTATATGTGATTTGGGAAGCAAGATGGTGGCTGTGCAGGCGTACTGGGGAGGAAGAATTCTAGAAGGAATACGTAGAGAAGATGTTGCAGGAATTATGGCAGCCAGGAAACAGGAGGTGATGTGGTTCTTGTCGGACCTCTCGCCATTCGAAGAATGGTTCCCGGGTGAAGGATTTTCCTTCTGATTCATTCCACCTGTTCCTGCGTCCTCTGTTGAGGTCAACTAATGGTCACAGCTGGCCCTTCTGCACATGCGGGGTGGGCCACATCTAGCTTGGGCTGGTTTAAGGCAGTCTTTTCTGACTAATAGAAATTCACTGGCATTTGTAGGGTCAGGTTACACAAGCATTCACTAAATACATATTTTTCTAACACCTAGGTCATGCCAGATTCTGTGCTGGGTGCTGAGGATAGAAGAGTGAACAAAGCAGACATCACCACCCCCCCCACACACACACGCACACCCCGTCTTGCAGCTTTCCACTGACTTTTTTTTTTTTTGCCAATTCAGCTTTTTACAAGTGTACAACGTATTGACAGCAACGATAATAATCAGCTGTGCAACCCTATCCTTAATCAATACAATTTTTCCATCACCGTTAATCCCTCCTTTCCCCCTCCTTCCCACCCCTGGTAACCACTAATAAATTTTGGTCTCTATACATTTGCCTTTTCTTGTCTCTTTATACAAGTGAGGTCATACAATATTTGTCCTTTGGTGATTGACTTATTTCACTCAGCATAATGCCCTCCAGATTCATCCATGTTGTGAGATGCTTCACAGATTCATCATTGTTCTTTATCGTTGTGTAGTACTCCATTGTGTGTATGTACTACATTTTGTTTCTCCATTCATCTGTTAGTGGGCATTTAGGTTGTTGCCACCTTCTGGCTATTGTGAATAGTGCGGCAATGAACATTGGTGTACAAGTCTCTGAGTCTCTGCTCTCAAGTCTTTTGGGTATATGCCTAAGAGTGGAATTGCTGAGCCAGATGATAGTTCTATTTTTAGTTTTTTGAGGAACTGCCACTGATCTGCTTTTATACAGACTTTATACAGGCATGACTAGGATTTTTTCTTTCTCCTCCAAGTAGTCAGATTTTTCAGATTAAAATAGCATACTTTGCGGTAACTTGTCAGATTTGTAGCTGCCCAGCATCTTTTGAATACTCTTCCTATATTTGGGGGCTTTCTCCATGACAGAATTTCTGCCTAAGGCAGTGGCCAGAACTCATTTCCCAGCCTTTCTTGCAGGTAGGGTGTGTTGAACTAGGGGTTGCCAATTGGTGCACCCTCATGATTCTTTCATTCAGAAGAGAGCAACTTGAGGATACAAACTTTATGAAGAATCCATTTTCATGAGAGGGTAAGGGTGAAAGAATCTGGCTTTCCAGGGCAGCACTGATGACATTTTGGGCATCCAGTGTCCAGCAGTGTAAGCTGTGGTGGTGTCTTACTGCAGCTGGCCCACAGAATGGTTTGTTTCTGGCTGTGCAGATTCTAGCCTCTCTGGCCATACCAGAGATACTGTGAGCTACCTAAGATTCTTAATTGCTTACCTTTTAAAAATAGAGTGACTTCTGATCTTTGCAAAGACATGAGACATACACTGAACTACATTTCCTATATTCACAAAAATCATTGAAGGCGAGCATTATCACACATTTTACAGATAAAAAACTGAGACAAAAAGACAATTCACTAGACAAATGTTTATTAAAGGCCTACTGTGTGCCAAGCACTGGAAATCAAGGAGTATTGAACAAAATAGTTCCCTGCAACTATATAAAAAAGAACGACCTATCGTACATGAAATGTCCCGTTGATAAAATGAGAGCCAAAGTGCAGCAGTTGTCTGGAGAGAAGGACTTCATGCTAGGCAGCCCCGTCTTAAATATAGAAACCCCCTAAAAATAGCCACCCATGTTCCAGACTCAACAGGTGATTGGCCCAAAAAGAGGGGAGGGGAACTGAGGCCGCAGTGAAGGAGAGTGAAGGACAGTGCCGCTGTTTTCAGCTTCTATCACAGCAATGGCTCTGCCTCTGAGGTTTCTGAGCAGGGGCTTGGCGACTGCAGCCAAGGGAGGCCACGGAGGAGCAGGAGGTGAGTGGGGCTGGGACCTGACTCTGTGGCTTCCTGACTTTGCCCACCTACCTACACCCCGCCCCACCCCGCCGATCCCCCACCAACCTCCAGGGCCAGCAACACCCTCACCAGCCAACCCTTCCCCCTCAGACTTCCAGAGAGTCGGGCCCAGCCACCCGTTTTTGCCCTTCCCGCTTCCCTCTCATCTCACACCCGCCTTTCCCTGGGCCCAGCCAGAACCTGGCGCCTCCTGAGCTTCACGGTGGCGCTCCCAAGCGTGGCCGTCTGCACCCTCAACTCCTGGCTCCACGCGGGCCACGGTGAGCGCCCTGAGTTCATCGCCTACCACCACCTCCGTATCCGTACCAAGGTAACGCGGCCCGAGGCTTCGGCTCAGGGGCGGGAACGAGCCGGTGGGCGAGTGGGCAGCAGCGGGGACCGCCAGGGCGGCCCTGGCAACTTGCTTTCCCTCTTTCCACAGCCCTACTCCTGGGGTGACGGCAACCACACTCTCTTCCACAATCCCCGCGTCAACGCTCTCCCCACAGGCTATGAAACCCACTGAAGCCCAGGCGGAAACCCCCCTGGGGCAATAAAGGAGTAGAAGCTTAGTGTCCGCAGGCTCACTGGGGACGGCTGGGTGGGGTGGTGCAAACGTGAGGTCTTTGGCAGGCGCTCTGTTGGGCGCATGCACACAGAGTGGTCTGCACTCCACGTGCGTCCTGAAGCTGTAGCTTTTCCCACGACGTCCCTGATTTGGGAGGTTCTGGAGGGTACAGTGGTTAAGAGCTAGGCTGCTAACCAAAAGGTCAGAAGTTGGAATCCACCAGCCGCTCCTTGGAAACCCTATGGGGCAGTTCCGTTCCGTCCTGTAGGGGACCTAGGAGTCAGAATTGACACCACGGACAACAGGTTTTTGGAGGGATGAACAGGTTGAGATCCTTGCCCTCTCTCTCCTTACCTATTAGTAATGAGGGCTCTAGACCCTAAAGGGCTTTGGCATACACTGAATCTTCACAGTAAGTCTGGGAGGAAGATATAATTTTTGTTCCCATTTCCCAGAAGAGGAAACAGATTCTCACTGATTAAATGACTTGTTCAAGTTCAGGCAGCTCATCAGAGGCCCCACCAGACTCAAGTGTGTAGACCTTGAAGTAGCACTTTTCACCAGACACAAATTGCCTGAACTGACAGCATCTGTGAATCCTGGTTATTTCAAGAGAACCCTAATTTCTGACATAAGATCTACAGTCCCATCTGTGAGGCCTTATAACCTGATTCTGGATTTGGAATATTTTTGCCATTCTCTGTGACCATCTTAAATGGATCTTCTGTATTAGTTTGGGATATCAGATGTCCTTTTTGGTAGCCAAAACTCTTGGCTTCTGGGGACCCCATTCAAAGGGAACATTGGTTTAAACAGTCTCTGGTCATTTCGTTCACCTCCCGGGATAGTCTTCTCACTTGCCATTACCAAGGAGCCTGAAACCTGTGCTGAAACCCGTCACCAACACATATAGAGCTTTGACCTCCTTCCCCGACACTGGTCACAGCACCATTAAAAATAAGATGACCTTAGGCTTCAGTCAACGGAGAAAGTAAGAGAACTTTTTCTGTACCCACGCTCAGGTTCCTGGAACTATTCGTAGAACAGCACTCAAGTGCCTTGATTAGAGCTCCTCCATACAAGGAAAATGTGTTATGAATGTTCTCATTTAATGTAACAATTTTTATACGTATGAAAAATCACCCCTGAGGAAGTTTGACAGATATGTGAAAATATAAAGTTCTTTCAATTCATTGGGAAGACAGCCTAGCACCTGATAGATTGATGAGGACAGCCCAGATCTATGCAGAAGTTATTCTCATAAAAGTAGATTAGTAGGCTGAGGCAAGACCAGCCCATGCGGGTAGAGATAAACAGGAAAGTGGGTTATGAAGACAACGTATTTGGACCCCATGGCTGAAACCCTCCCGACTGAATGTGGTGGGGTTTTCAGCCTTGTCATCTAGCATTTCTGACATTTGAAGAGGCCAAGCTATGAGGGGACATAAATCAGAAAAACTGGGTAAGAGCAAGGAAAGAAAGTTGGAAGTAGGAAGACGCTAAGTGAGAAGAGAAAGGAGTTAGGCTTGTATTTGTGTGCCAGAAAATTTATTTATGTGAGCAACAGCTATCTCGTTATCTAATGTGTGTACCGAGCACAGTACTAGACCTATTATACACATCATCTGTAGCAGAAAAGCATAGACTCTGGAGTCAGGCAGCCCTGTGCATATATTGTGGCTTCATTTCTGCCTCACTTTAGCCACTCTGTGATATAAGTATCATTATAATTTCAAAAATGAAAAACAGACTCAGACAAGTTGAGCAAACTGCCTAACATTAAACAGTCAGCCGAGTGATAGAGCCAAAATGTGCACCCAGGCCTGCCTGACACCAGTCTGGATTCCTCCCACTATACTCTCCTATCTGCGGGAGGGCTCAGGTTGGATGCTGGTGGTGTCAAGAGTGGGACGAAAATACTCAGCTTGTACAGTGTAGCTGTGATGAGATCCAGCAGCAGCAGCAGTCCTCCCATACAGCTGCCAGTGATGAGAGGAATAGGATTGTAGACTCCACACTCCTCCAGCACTGTCTCCATCTTATTTAGCAGTGACCTTATCTTGGTTATCTAGTGCTGCTATAACAGAAATACCACAAGTGGATGGCTTTAACAAAGATGAATGTATTCTCTCACTGTCTAGTAGGCTACAAGTCCAAATTCAGGGAGTCATCTCCAGGGGAAGTCTTTCTCTCTCTGTCGGCTCTGGAGGAAGGCCCTTGTCATCAATCTTCCCTTGGTCTAGGAGCTCCTCAGTGCAGGGACCCTGGGTTCAAAGGACACGCTAGTCTCCTGGCTCTTATTTCTTGGTGGTATGAGGTCCCCATGTCTCTCTGCTTGCTTCTCTCTTTTATATCTCAAAAGAGATTGGCTTAAGACAATCTAATTTTGTAGATTGAGTCCTGCCTCATTAACATAACTGCCGCTAATCACATCTCATCAATATCATAGAGATAGGATTTACAACACATAGGAAAATCACATCAGATGACAAAATTGTGAACAGTCACACAATACTGGGAATCATGACCTAGCCAAGTTAACAGCTATTTTTAGGGGACACAATTCAATCCATGACAAACCTCATCAGAAAGCATCAGGCCTCTTGCTATCCCAGATGCCTCTCAGGTTCCCCAGCCTGTAGTTTCTTTCCCTCCTCCCCCAGGCCCTGCTCCAAGGGTTAAGATGCAGAAGCACTTGTGGGCTTAGGGACACCTGTCTTGTCCAGGGACATCCATCTTTCTTCCCTCCAGGCCTACAAACCTCCCACCCAACATCATAGATTTAGTATTAGGAGCTCTTTCACCAGCCTGGCCACTGCCTACCACGTAATCACTACCTGGGCTCTCATAAATGCCTCCTGTCCTGGAAGCTGGGAATACACAGATCTGTTAAATGTGATTTCAGCCACACTCACAGCCAATACATTCTGCAGCATCTGCAAAAGAGAGGGGGAAAGCTCGGGAGTTGACCCTGAGGAAGGCTCAGAGTTTAAGAAATGTCCTGGCTCTAGGGTGGGCAGAGACACTTCAGATACCACCTGAATCTGGGGGGGAGGCTTTGCTCTTGGGCTCTACACACCTGGTTGACCTAGCCAAAGATGAAGTTACGTACACTTCAGGATGAAGTCAAGTTCCTCCTGGATGCTGAAGCAGGGGATGTCACAGTGGAACCTCAGGCAGACAGCAACGGAGCAGTCCTAGGGACAGAAGAAGAATGAAGTTGAGAAGGGCAGGAACCACAAGAGAAAATAAGGTTTGTCAGATTGTGGGTGAGGACTAGATGAACAATTACAGGATGTATATATAATCTGTAATCTAGCAGTACATTTCCCTGTATCCCCCAAATGTGCAGCTGGTCCTGCTGTGGGGTCTAGGGCCTTTCTCACCAACATGGGGCTCCTTGGAATCTTGGTCAGGAAGTCAGAATATTGAAGTTGTTCCCTCTCTGACGTACAGGGGAGACTAGAGAGAGAGAGAAAGAGGAAAAAAACCAATTTTAGCCATGAAATGATAAACATTTCTGTGGTAAGAAGGTGTGAGGTATTGTGGGACCAGACCCTGAGAGTGAGAAAACGAGGACAGGCACTTGTGAAGGGGCCACCACAGCCACAACCAACACAGCCACACTGTTCGGCAGGATGGTAACCCAGAAATTAATGCTGACGGCCATATCCCACTGACTCGGGTTATTCGCCTGCAGAAAATTGAAACAGAACATTATTGTGGTCCCTGGAACATCCCAAATCCCATGTCTTTCCTGAATCCACCCCTTGACTCATCTCTATCCTTCCCTACCAGCTTCCAAATTTATCAGCACCATGGGAGGATAGACATGGATGTTCCCCAGCCCCTCACATGATATCTGTGCTTGGCCTCTTCCCTGCTCTTCTCATCAGAAGTTGTAAAGTTGAAGTACATGGTGGATTCTTCCTGCCTGGAGAGAGAGAGGGCCTGTTGTGGAAAACAGGCCTGAGACCGTCCCCAGTTGTTTTCCAGCCTGCTGCTTTGCGCTTTCTTGGGCCAGCAGATGACCCAGGAAAATAACGATAGTCCCCACATACTTCTCCAGCCTCAGCTCTAGCTGCTCTCCTCCTGATGTCCTTTGACCCCATCACTCAGAACTACTAGCTCTTCCCCTCATACCCCTAGGGGCTCTTTCATGACTTTGCTCACTCTTTTTTCTGCTTGGAATGTCCTTACCCAGCTCCCTTCTAGAAAATTTCACTTACGGGTCCAACTTAAACATTACCTCCCACAATGTTTAAACATTTTTCCATGGTAGATACATGGTTAGCTTCGGTAATGCTTGCACAGGCTGCTGCCAGAGCAAATAAGCATAAGGGGACCCCGCAGGATGCAAGCTGGGGCAAAAATGGAGTGACAGCCCCTCCACAGTGGGAATGAAGATATTGTCTATTGGATGTGGTCATCCCGGGGCAGGTAAGTAAATGTGAGGGAATATGGTGCATGAACACAAGCCCATGGTGTGGACGTAAATGTGCCAGGCTTCAGGTGGGTATCAACCATCATCCATCCATCCATCCATGAACTTCATTTATTCAGGAAACATTTACCATATGCCAGGCTGTGTGCTTGGTCCTGGAATTCAGCAGTTAATAAGCCATAATCCCTGCCCTCCCAGAGTTTAGCGTCTAAAGTCTCAGTGGAATCAAGCAGACAAGCAGAGGGAGCTGTGTGTTTTACTAGCACCTAGGGTACAGAAGCCAGGCCAGCCACACAGAAATTCCAAGGCCCCAACAGTTTTCCCACAGATGTGGCTATCAGCTTGGTGATTAAGAACATAGGCTCTGGAGCCAGACCGCCTGGGTCCAGATCTCATGTCTGCCACTTCCTACCTGAGTAACTTGTGGCAAGTTACTTAGTCTCTCTGGATCCCTATAGTTTCTCCCTCTTTAAAATGAGGATGCTATTAATAGTGACTACCTACTCGAGTTGTGATGAGGGTTGCAGAAGTGCCCAGCACACAGTTTTCCATAAATGTTAGAGTTTATCTTTTTATTTTTGCTTTAGTATGCTAGCCTTCCTCTCTGCTCCCCACCCCGAACCTTTCCCTCTCTGCTTCAGTTTTTTCATCCTTGAGTTCTAAATCTCTTTTCACATCTGAGTAAATCACCCAGTATTCACAATCCTCTGAGAGGCATGAAGTGTATCACCACGGGTGTGGGCTCCAGAGCAAGTCATCTGGGTTTGAGTCCTGGTTTTACCACTTAGCAGCTGGATTACGCAAGTTATTTCACCTCTCCATTTCTGTATGGGTAAAAATGGGGATAAAAATAACTATCTCATAGAATTATTGGGAGGATTAAATGAAGGAATACATGTAAAGTCCTTAAAAGAATACCTGCTATATCATAAGTATATATGTAAGTTCACATTATAAATTCTTGTATTTTACATGGATGGAAAAGGAAACTCACACGTGGGGTTTGGAAGGGCAACGACACTGCCTGAATTTCACTTCCTAGTTCACCTAAAAATTCACACGACATTGGCAGCAGCAACAGCAACAGCGGCACCCTCTGTCCCATGGCAATATTGTAGGCTTCTGGCCAACTTTCTAAACCCCTGGAGTTTTTTTCACTCAGCCCAGTGGGTGGGGGTCCTTAACTCTGCTTCCAGCCTGGCCCATCTCTGCTTCTCAGCCCACCTTCAGAACCCAGAGCAGCAGCCCTACGCTTACCCTTCCTATGGCCCACCTAAGCCTTGGGCTCTTCACAGTGGTTTTTCACACCTCTGCTGTCCTCTGAGTTTTGTAGACACCTGACCTTTCCTTTCCTGTATGTGGTAGAAGACCACATCTTGCTTGGACACAAGCGCCTCATTTCAGTGCACTCACAAACACTGCAGTCTAAATCTAGTAGCTTTGTTTCAGGCATGTTCATATTTAGCACAAAGGAGAGAATTGGCTTCTTGTTAAAGGAAGCCTGCATCTTGGAGGGAGACAAGGGATGCACAGTGGTGTCAAGGTGTGTGTGTCCTAACAGTAGGCTTCCTTAGCCAGTGCTGAGGGATGCACTAGAGAAGAAGCAAGAATCGTGGTATAAATATATGGCTGATCACCCACACAAGCATCCCCATGTGAGAAATCAGAAGGGCCAGTTTACGTACCCATCCTCAGAAGGGCACACTGTGCTGCAAGGGAGGTACCAGTCTTGGAGGAAGGTCAGAGGTCCAAGGGGAGGTCAGGGATTAAGCACCTGCTGCGTACCCTGTAAACAGTATATTTCACTGGGAGTTCCACTGAAAGGTGGTCTTGTTGGTTGTAGGCTTATTATTCTCATTGGAGAAAGAGAGGGGACCCTGATTAGAAGGAATCCAGGAGAAGCATCTTCAACTGGGGTGTGAGACTGGTGGAGGAGGGGTGAGGGACACACTATCCCTCAGCCTGACCTGGGCTCACCTGCTTGCATTGGCCACCAGAAGCAGCTTGTCTCCCGGGGTGGCCTTGAGAGAGACATTGAATGTGACTATGAAGATGCCCTGAAGGAAGAAGGGATGAGGATAGGGAAGGTCACGGGGGAGTGAGGGAAGGGGAATGGGTCAGGACATGGGAGAACAGTGACGGGGATTTGTAGGTAAGTACTGACTTCACTGCCCTCTTGGAAACTGCAGCTGCTGCTTCTCAGGTCTTCGCTCTTAGGGGTACTGCCTCACAAGCCAGGTGCAGTGGGGACTGATGAGGTTGGTTCTAGGGAAGGAGAATGAATTAAAAAAAGTTACCCACATGCATATATGAACTTGGTATATAACAGCGGTGGCATTGCAAAGCATTAGGGAAAGGACAGACTTTTGAATGAATGGTGCTGGCAAAATTGGCATACCAAAAAAAGAAAGAAAGAAAAGAAAAAGAATACATTGTATTTATACGTCCATACATTAAAATAAATTCCAGGGGGATTAAAGACTTAAATGTGAAAAAGCAAAGCTACAAAACTTTTAGAAGATAATATAGGGGAATATGTTCATGACCTCAGGATAGGGAAGTATTTTTTAAACAAGACATTTTAAAAAGTACTAAATACAAAAGAAAAGATTGATAAATCAACCACAATAAAATCAAGACATTCTTTTTATTAAAAGACACTATACTAAGCCAGTAGAAGAAACAAAGTCTTGATAAATGCTACAATATATGTGGAGCTTGAAAACGTTATGCTGAGTGAATTAAGGCAATCACAAAAGGACTAATATTGTATGACCTCACTTCTATAAAAAGACAAGAAAAGGAAAATGTATAGAGAACAAAGTTTATTAGTGGTTACTAGGGGCAGGAGGAAGGAGGAGAGGGAGAGTTGAAAAATCGTATTGATTAAGGGTAGGATTGCAGAGCCGATTATTGTAATTGCTGTCAATAAGTTGTACAACTGTAAGAAGCTGAATTGGCAAAAGTTGTGTGATAAATATATGTATGAAATAAATATATTTTACCAAAAGAGAGAGAAAAAATAGCTGCTGAGGCTGCTTATGTACAACCAAAAGCCTCATGGGATTTGGTTTCTTGGTCTGGAGGTTTAGGGTCATGGTTTCATAGGACATTGGCCTAATAAGGTGTTTAGTGCTTTTGTTCTACCTCCTAGTTTGCTGTGTAGTGTCTGGGGTCTTAAAAGCTCGCAAGAGGCCATCCAAGGCACAAGAATTGGTCTCTTCCTGGAGCAACAGAGGAAGAAGGAGTGTCAGGAATAAGAGGAGGATATGGAATGTGTGGCTAGTTGCCTCCATGAACAAGTGCCTCCTTTGCCATGAGACCAGAATAACTGGATGATGCCTGGCTACCATTACTGAACATTTTGATGAAAGATTCTATAGAAGAATCCTGATCAAAAGGAGGAAATTGCAGAGCATAATTTCAAATTCTCATGAACTTCAGACTTTCTGGAGTCACGAAGGTTGGATGAACCCTTGAAACTATTGCCCTGAGATCATCTTTAAAACATAAACTAAAAGTATCCCCTGAAGTCATCTTAAAACCAAGCAATAGTTTAGCTTAACTAGAAAAATATGTCTGCCTTGAGCATTACGCTCTTTTAAGAACAATCTATACGGGATCAAAGAGAGAACAGCAACTTGAAAGATTAGACAGGAACCTTAGGAGGCACTGAATTCATGTTAATGGGGGAGGAAAAACTCAGAAAAGGAGCGTGAGAATGGTTGTACAACTTGAAGCATGTAATCAATGTCACTGAATGGTTCGTGTAGAAACTGTTGAATTGGTGTATGTTTTGCTCTGTAGTATCCTCCACAACAACAACATAGTAAATAAAATTTTAAAAAATGGTCATGGCCAAAATTAGGAAACAACTCAAATGGCCATCAATTATAGAATGGATAAATAAACTGTAATATAGTCGCCCAAAGGAATTCTATACAACAATGAAAATTTTCTAAAGGGATTTTAAAGACATGAAACAACATGGATGAATCTAACAAATACAATATTGAAGGAAAGAGGCAAGACACAAAAGAGTACATATAACATATTTCCATTCATATAAAGTTCTTGGAAAAACTGAACGTTATTATTTAGTGATGCATTCATGGGTGATACAACTATCATGAACTACAAGGAAATGATTATCACAAAGTCAAAATGGTGGTTACCTTTGGGAAAAGGGTACACGGTGAGAGGGCTTCTGGGGTGCTGGAAGTGTTCTTTTTAAGTTGGATGCTAATTGCATATTCATTGAGCTGTACATATGTTTTATGCATATATACATATATATATGTAGAGAGAGAGAAAGTCATAGAAGAAGAATTAAAAAGAACTACCATAACCCAGGATAGAGGAGAGGCCTCAGCCAGCTAGAGCTTAGGGGTACTGTTTACCTGGGTCCCTAACACCCGCTGATAGGACAGCCCTAGTGGGTAGTAGAAGTTGATCACGGTTGCATAAGAATCTTCACCCTCATTCCACACAGTCATTGTCACACTGAGCTCCAGGGAGCTCCCCAGCATTAGTGTGCAGGCTGAAAGGGGAAGGACAAGACTGGGAGCGTAACTCCAGTGGAAACAGATTGGAATTGGATCTGGGGTGGATTGTGGAAACTCATGAGCTATGGGCTGATAACACTTCAGTCAAAATCATTTCTTTGTTAGAAGGAGAGCTGAAGGGGAGCTTGAGCACTTATCATATGAGGATGGGAGACCCAGAAGCTTCAGAGTCAGGATATGAAAGGAGATAGAGCTTACCCTGAGAAGCTAAGGTTGATGCTCAGATCTCCTTCACAGAGGCGATCTTGTCCACAGTTCTTCTCAAAGGGGAGCTGCAGCAAAATAGTATATTCTCTTCCCATCCCATGTCTTAATCTTACTCCAATCCCTTCACCAGGAGCACTCATCAACATTGAGTATTACTGGGCACCTACTCAGCACCCAGCACTGTGCTAGACATTGGCAAGGCGTGAGGGAGTGTGGAATATAAAAGAAAGGTAAGACAAGGGAGAAGGAGGCTGGCACATTTACAAAACAGAAATATCAGCATGGTTGAAGTGTATTGAGTAACAGGCAATCGACTATGGTGAGGCTGGATTGGCACACTGGGGCCAGATAAGAGAGGACATTGTAGGGAAGGATTTTAATCTTTATAAATGCAAGGGGAAGCAACTAGAGTTTCTCTACAATGCTAGTTCCCTAACAGTGAGGGAACCAGCATTTTAGAGGAACTCTAGTTCTTCTGTGGTGAATGGGTGCTGATGCAAGAATAGATGTGGGGAGCAGCTCGAGCTATTTTTACTTTGGTCTAGGTAGGAAAGAGCAGCGGTGGCCTAAAGGTGGCTGTGGCTGGTAGAAAGAATTGTGCAGATTCCAGATCTATCCTGGAGACAGAATTAACAAGCATGGGTGTGGAAAGAGGGGGAGAGAAGAGACCCAGCTTTCTGACATAGGCACCTAGGTGGATGTGGAGGTGAGATTTGGATTCCTGGGCCCCATCTGCCCTGCAGATAGGACTGGGAGCCTTTAGCAGGGTGAGGAACTGGGTCTACTTGCAGGGTACTCACCTAGCTGATCAAGTGAGCTTTGTAGGTAGTGAGACAGACTGTGGCATCCCTGCTTCCAGGGTGGTGGGCACCTCTTCCCAGCACTGGCACACAGCCTTAGCAACCTCCATGGGAGTGAATCTTACGGCTACCCTGACTTTCAGCACAGGCTGACTCCTGAGGGGTGCAAGCAGGGACTGAGGACAAGGCAGTGACCTCTGGGAGGAAAAGTATCTGGAGGGGAGTGGGCAGCATTGGTGAAATCAGACACACAGTGAATAAGGGTGAGGTGTGAGGGGAGTTGTTATCTGAGAACTAGCATGTAGCCCTGGGCCTCCATGCCCAAGTCTACCAGTCCATCCTGGGTGAGGTCCTGACCCCTACTCAGCAACTGCCCAAGATACTGGAGCTTGGGAGAGAGATGGGAACCTGTGATCTGCTGGTCAGAGAGGGAAAGGAGAAGTGGAAGTGAAGGGAGAATGATTGGAAAGGTTTGAGGAGAGAGATTCAGAAGGGAGATTGCAGTGAAAGGATCGGAATGGTGGAGCTGGAAAGGAGAGACGATGGGATATAAATGGAAAGCGATCAGAGTAAGAACATCAGGGACCCCAGAACGGAGCTCTTTTGGTTCAACCTATCATGATGGTGTGGGTTAACTAAGAAATAAAAACATAACAATAGGAATATAATAGATTCATTTATTTATAATTTCTTATGTTCATGTATACATATTTGATGAATGGAGTGCTTACTGCTTCCTTCTGCTATCTATAAGAAGCCTGTGGAGGTGATTTTATCATTTCCATGTTTCACATGAGAAAACTAAAGCTCACAAAGGCTAAGTCAGTCACTTGCCTAAGGCAACACAGCTTAATGATGGCCTGGTCAAGGGATATGACCTGTGTCGGACCCCAAAGCCCACTCTCTTAACCATTAAGAGACTTCCAAACTAACGTCTGTTTGGAACCAAAGGAGATAAGAGAGATGATTTGTGCTTAGTGGGCCTGGTGGAATTCAGGGACCTAAACCACTAGAAGAGGGAGGGGAACGGCAGCTGCAAAGGCCACTAACTAAAGGCTGAGTGGGCTGAACCTAAGGCATGGGGAAGGGGGTGAAAAGATGGAAGCGGAAGAGGCTGAAGATAGGGGGCCTCACCTGGCTGTGGGAGGGGCTGATCCCAGTCCTGATGCTCCATGAAATAGGTAGACTGCACCCCGGTTCTCCTTCTCCCTGGGCACCCTGTTGGCCACGTCTGTCATCTTATCCTCATTCACGTTCCCAGCACTGTCAGGGTTGCTCCAAAGCTTCCCCAAGGATGCCCTGCTCCCCATGGAGAGCAGCCTGACACTGCCACTTGGCCCGCTGCTGAACAAAACCAGTGTCAGGCCCCAAGTGGGCCAATCCCTCCACCCCACACCTGGGACCCACCCAGTCACTCACCCCCACCCCCCCGGAGCCAGGGGCATAAGACACCCCCCAGGTCCATCCATAGAAATGAGAGGCCCCGATGAGGACCAGGTCAGTGCTGCCATCTCTGTCCACATCCACGGAGCAGAGGGAGGCCCTGAAGCAGGAGCTGATCTGGAGGGCAGAGCCTGAAGTCACCCTGCCTGCCCCTCCCAGAGACACCCCCTTCTGAGTTAGGTCCTGCCTCTTCCCAGGCACCAGGATCTTCCCAAATCCCTCTGCCTGCCCTCACGTTCCACCCCAGCTTTCCTCATACCCAACCTGGGTCCCTGTGACTTCGGCCTGCAGCATCCATCACCTCAACACCTGGATGAAGATGACAGCCTTTCCAGTGTGCTGGTGGTGAGGGGCAGCCAGGACCAGGCTCTGCAGCCCCTTCCAAAGGACCAACTCCGTGGGGTAACCTGTGGGGGCCAGGCCTTTACTTGTCCTCTTCTCCTCCTGGTCTCCTGCCCTTCCCAGGCAGCTCACCTTCCCATCCTGTCCTTGCCCCCAGTTCCAGCCTTTTCTCACCCAGGTAAGAGTCCCTCATGTTCACATTCTCCTGAGACATGTTGACAAATGTGGGGCTCAGATTTGGGGGGTACAGGAAGGTACCTCCAGACCAGCTGATGCTCCCTACAGCCCCCAGAACTGGTCCATCCTGGGAAGAAAGAACTCCAGGGCTGAGCAGGCTGGAGGAAGTATATAGACTATTCCAAACAAATGCCTGCCACCAATTCCTCTCATATCTCATTATTTCCTCTTTTTCTCCTTCCCCAGCCCTCATCAACAGCCTCAGTATTCATCTGACCCTGACTCCCAGCATCTCTCAGTCCAACCCCACTTCCACTGTCCTGTTCAGCCCCCATCACCTCTCACCCACTGTTCCTCCTGCCTTCCATCTTGCTCTCTTCTGCTTCATCTTTCACTGCCCCAGAGTTAGGTTTCCTCAAATCGAAATGTACAGCCACCACCTTGCTAGAAAACCAGGATTGCTTCCTGTCACCAAGCCCCTTAGGATGGTATCTAAGACCTTTCCTAATCAAACCCATGGAGTTACCCTTTGTTCCAAAATACATCTAGTATTTGGCATGGAACACCTCTCTCCTCTCCTCTCTTTCTTGTACTCAACTCCCTTCTCTGGAAGAGTCAACTTCGTAGTCATCTCCTCTGTGAGGTCTTCCCCAGTACCCCCAGGGAGCAGTAGGTGTTTCCTCCTCTGCATACTTTATTGTTGTCTTAGTCATCTAGTGCTGCTATAACAGAAATACCACAAGTGGATGGCTTTAATAAACAGAAGTTTATTCTTTCACAGTCTAGTAGGCTAGAAGTCAGAATTCAGGGCATCAGCTCCAGGGGAAGTCTGTCTCTGTCTGCTCTGGAGGAAGGTCTTTGTCATCAATCTTCCCTTGGTCTAGGAGCTTCTCCACACAAGGAACCTTGGGTCCAAAGGATGCACTCTGCTCCTGGCACTGCTTTCTTGGTGGTATGAGGTCCCCATATCTCTCTGCTCGATTCTCTCTTTTGTATCTCAAAAGAAATTGGCTTAAAACACAATCTAATCTTGTAGATTGAGCCCTGCCTCATTAACATAACTGCCACTAATCCCATCTCATTAACTTTATAGAGATAAGATTTACAACACATAGGAAAATCACATCAGATGACAAAATTGTGGACAATCACGTAATACTGGGAATCATGGCCTAGACAAATCGATACACATATTTTGTGGGGACACAATTCTATCCATGACAATTGTCTTTCTAACTTTTTATTATGGATAATTTATAATATACACAAAAGTAGAAAGAAATGTATAATGAACCTCTAAATACCCATGATCCAACCTCAGTGATCAATTCATGTTTCATTTCTACAATTCAACCCCCACCCATGGATTATTTTCAAGCAAATCTCTCTGGATAATTTGAATACACATCTACTTTCAGACAAGTCATGCTGTATGGTCATTTCTTTGGTCTGCCTGGTCTGGCCCTTCCCACTCCTCCAGCACTCTCCTCCCATGCACCCTGTTGCTCACTTTGCTCCAGCCACGCTGGCCTTTCTTTCTCTCAAGTATAGTAAATTTATTCCTGCCTCAGGATCTTTGCACTTGTTTTTTCCTCTGCCTGGAGCAATCTTGCTCCAGATTTTTCCAGGGCTGGCCCTTTCTCATCATTCAGGCTCAGTTGTTACTCCTCAGATCTCCTTTGACCACCTATCTTTCTCTATCCTAATACTCTATTTTATTGTCTTTATGACATTTAGCACAATCTAAAAATCTTTTGCGTACTTATTACTTGTTTATTGTCTCCTCTCACTAGAGTATGTATTCCATGAGAGCAGAAACCTTGTCTGGCCTGTTCTTTGACATGCCCCCAGCACCTAATACACTACCTATATGTCTCTTCCCCCACTAGACAGTGAGCTCCTTGAGGGTAGGGCATGCTTTCTTGTTTACTTTTGGGTCCCAGCTCTCTGTCCAGGGCCTGATCCAGAGTTAGTGCCTGAGACCTTTTTCTCAAGCACATGCTTCACTCACCATTATGAGTACTGAACTGAAGCCTTCTTGAAACATCTCATGCTGGAAGAAGCTACTTGTCTTCAGCTGGGTTTCTGCAGGTAAATAGGTCACTTAGGCTCCTGGAGACTGTGAGACCATGAGGACTCAGAACACAGGGAGGAGAATGTGGTCTGGGGCTTGGGTTCTGGAAGCAATTTTGGGTAGCTGTGAATAGAGATGGGCTGTTCAGGGGACGATAGGGTAGGGACCAATTCACTTCCAAGACCTAAGCCCAGTTCCTTATTTACCCTCAACTGCAAAGATCTTCTCCTTCAGCTGCTTCTGGATGCTACCAAGCACTGCAAAGTTGTCCACCATGAACATGTGGTACTGCGGGGGTGCTGAGCCAATGGTGCTCAGCATTTGTTTGGCAGTGGATTCCTGGAAAGCATCTCCTACCTGCAGCAGAGAGGTGGCTGAGGAGGAGGAACCCACCAGGCTTTCTGACTGAATGAGGTGAAGGTGAAGTGGATCTCCAGGAGGTTTGAGTACTGCATCAGAGAGAACTGCAGAGGCCAAGAGGAGGGTGATGAGAGGGTGTTTTGTAAATAAACTTTTACTTTTAGAATAGTTTTGAATATGCAAACTATTTCCCACATGATTTTGAGACCTTATAAATAATATGGAGCCCTGGTGGTGCAGTGGTTAAGAGATTGGCTGCTAACCAAAAGGTCCACAGTTCGAATCTACCAGTCACTCCTTGGAAACCCCTGCGGCAGTTCTACTCTGTCCTATAGGGTCACTACGAGTAGGAATCGACTTGAAGGTAATGAGTTTGGTTTGGGTTTTTATAAATAATATACTGAAACAAAAAAAAAAAAAAAGAAAGAAAGAATTAACTGGACAACCACACAATACCAGGAATCATGGCCTAACCAAGGTGACACGTATTTTTGGGGGACACAGTTCAACCCACGACGGGGAGAATGGTTGACACATCACAGGGTTGGCAACCAATGTCACAAAATAATTTGTGTATTAACTGTTCAATGAGAAACTAATTTGCTCTGTAAAATTTCACCTAAATCACAATTTAAAAATAATAAGAAAGAAAGAAAGAAAAAAGATTTTCCTTCTTAGACAATGTGGATATAACTGATGAAAAATGCATGAAAGCATCCAAGAAATTAATGCAGCTTATACCGATGACTTAAATACAAACCTTTACGGAGAAGTGTGACAATTCTATTCTTACATGAGAACTTAGTTTACAGATTCAGGAAAGACAAATTTTACTCATGTAGGCATGTATGATTCCGTAATAGCAGATAAAATACAGTTCGTATTTCCCAATGTTGAAATTGCTTTAAGCATATTTCTAACTTTAATGATCACGGACTGCACAATAGAATGCTCATTTTCATCCCTAAAGAGACTCAAAAACCCTCAGTGTACAACAATGATTCAGGAAAGACTTGATTCGTTATTCATATTATGTATGAAAGTAGATATTATTCAGCAGCTTAATTGTGATGAAATCATTGCAGAATTTGTAAGAGCAAAGAATAGAAAGAAATGTTTTTAATTACAGCATGTTAGAGATGACTATCTAAAACTAAAATACAGTAATTTGTTATTAAAAAAAAAAGAGAGAGAGAAAGAATTCATTGGCTAGAAAGCACAAAGAGAAAACTGGAAAATCAAGATCAAATAATGTTTCTTTCGTTGTCTGTAAGACATAACATTGTCCACCACAATAATTGTAAGAGTTACATTTTAAAAATTTTATGACATAAAATTAACTTGTAGTTTATATTTCCTCACTTCTCAAGAATTTATAAATACACACTAACTGCTGGGAAATGAATAATAAGGTTAAGAAATTGTGAGTTACGTAGGAAAAAAACCTAAAGAATCGTTAATTATTTGGCTGGGTCACCCTCGGTTAAATTTCATAAGCAAAATTATTTCAAAATCTTTTCAAAGTTTTTTTTTTTCTTTTTTCTTTTGGCTGAAAGGTGTGACTTCATTACTGAGCTAAAAGAGTGTCCAGAGGTCATACTCTTGGGGTTTTTCCAGTCTCTGTCAGACCAGTAAGTCTGGTCTTTATTTTCTTTTTGTGAGTTAGAATTTTGTTCTACATTTTTCTCCAGCTCTGTCCGGGACCCTCTATTGTGATCCCTGTTTTAAACAGCAAAAACATTGTATTTCCTTTAGAATGTGTGTAAATATTAAACATCACAGGGGATCAAGGAAGTCTCAAACCAGGCCTGCACAAGAATGCACAGGATTCCTTGAAACCTGGACACTAGACTCATCTTTGCACAGCTCCACTGAACTACCCCCCACACCCTACCCTACCTCACCTCCACCTTATCAACCCCTTACAGTAGCCTTTCCTCCCAGCTCTGCCTCCCTCCAGGCAGGCTCTCCCCCACCCCACCCTATTCCCCAGGCCTGTCTTCACCAGGACTTTGGTCCCCTCAAACTGGTCCATCACAGCTCTGACAAAGTCCCTCGTCTGTTCAAAGTCACTTCTGTCGATGCTGCTAGAGCCATCTATCAGAAAGACGATGTCCATGTCTTGATTTGGACACTCTGCAGGGAGGAAGGGGGGAATCAGAAAGACACACATGGGTCCCAGCCGTCTCCTGGCGCCCGGAAACTCTTTTCCTGCTCAACACAGTCAGAGAGCTATTTTGGGCAGTTTCTGTCGCCCTCCACAGAAGAGGCCCAAGTCTGTTGCCCCAGTCCCTTCTCCCCTCAGTGAAGTCCCCGTTGCTCCGTTCTTCCCATAAGGCCTGGAAAAGGGGAGGAGAAGGTAGAGGACTGGGATCGGATGGGTTCCTCATTCATTTATTCAACAAATATTTGTCGAACAATATTCTAGGGAGGTCAAGGAGCATAAGGGGAGGCAAACTAGCAAAGTGGTTCATGTATCCTTGTACGGGAGAGGCAGAGGGCGATTAGAGACAGACACGCAGAGCAAGAGGCAATGTGAAGAGGGCGCAGAGAGAGATGCAGACACAAGCCAAAGAATGTTAAACGCCAGTGTCTGGAAGAGGCAAGGAATGGGCATTCTAGGCAAGAGCCCCTGCAGAGAGTGCAACCCTGCCGACATCTTGATTGCATTTCAGTGAAACTGATTTCAGACTTCTGGCCTCCAGAACTGTAAAATAATAAATTTCTGTTGTTTTAAGCCACCAAGTGTGTGGTAATTTGTTACAGCGGCCACAGGAAACTGACACAGGTGTTTTGGCTGTCACTCCACCTTTGGCTAAAAGCCCGCCATGCCTGGCATTGTGGCTTCTCTGGTCCAAACCATTGTTCTCAGTCAGCACCCTGAGTGGACCTTCTGATGCTATTGATGAAAGAGTTCAAACACATGGTCCTCAGCTGGAAGATTAGTAACAACAGCCATCACAAATTAGGTGGCAGGCACAGTTCTAAGCACTTGATATAAATAAATCCCATAATCCTCATAACCATCCCTATCATTAAGCCCCATTTTACCAATGAGGAAACTGAAGCCCAAGCAGTGAAGTCATTTGCCCACGGGCACAGAGGACTTGCACTTGGGCAGCCGCCCTCGGTTCCTGCTCTATAGCACTATGCAGACTGGCTCTCAGAGCGATGCCACCAATGTCCCCTGACCCTGTTCTATATGGAAGACATTGGCGATGGCAAAACTGTGCATCACGTTATCCACACCTTATAGTTTGCTTCCCTGTAAGGCGGAAAGGTTGATTTGCGGAGTCCTGGCAACTCAGCAGTGAACGATCCTGAAGAACTGCCTCCCTCATGGTTTTCTCATCCTTACCACATGCCTTCACCATTCTTCTGAAAGTGTAACAAGCGTCCCTGAACATGTTGGCAACTTAAAAACCCTCATGCCCCCTGCAGCCAGCACACTGGGGCCTCCTCTGCTCCATCAAAATCTTTGCCTCTCAACCAGCTTAGGGCTCCTGCCCTGAGCTGCCTCCCCACTTGGCCAGAATATGCTCCCACCCACTCTTGGGCTTGCTGAGACTCTCTTAGCCATACTCAGGCCTCCGAGAAGGGGCCGTGGGCACAGGGATCCATGACCCAGGCCTCATGCTTTGCCCGCTCTTCAGCACGGCGTGTGGCCCAGACGGAATTGCTGTCCCTAATGGACCTACCTGGCAGGGCAGCTGGGATCTGCAGCAGGTGGTAGTCCAACAGGAGGCAGGAGCCTTTTGCATACATATTCTCCCCACAGGCTCTGTGCATAGTAGGCCACAGTCCTGGGGGCAGAGGCCTGTGTGGGCAAGGGTTCCCCAGTGTATCCCCTCCTCTTCTACCCCCAGCCCCAACCTCCTGCAGCCCTTGCTCTCCCCTTAGGACCCTCCTGTGTCCCAGGGAAACTTACCAGCATCCAGGAGGAGTTGGTGGTGGGCACCAGTGACAAGCCTATGGATATGTTCACAGGCTCTGGGAGGACTGAGAGGGCAGACACACCATTCACACATACCACACACCCTCATTTGGGGGGAAAGTCGGGGCTGGAAGCTGAGGAGTGGGCGTTTGGGTCCTGGCATAAGTCACTCATGTGCAGTGAGATGGGCTGGTATGTACCAGTGCGGTACTACACACAGTTGTACAACTGTCCTGTTTGGTTGGCTGCCACCACCTCCAAGGAGGCTCTCATCATGAGTCTGGGGGCACAACCACAATACACAGTCTCAGAGGGGTTGGGAGCAGGGCGTTTTGGGGGAAGAAATGTCATGAGATGGGGAAGAGACTTGTGAGGGAAGTTCTTGTCATTTGCCACTTGAGAGGTTGGTTAAAAAGCAAATGGGGCCTGAGTTCAATTTTATATATGCCTAAGGAGCATTCCACTTGTTTTTTTTGTGTGAGTATACATAAATACATATGTAAATTTTTTAAAATTTCATCAAAAACAGAAGTATTTAAAACAAACACAGCTCATTCTGAGCAACCCAAGAAATGGATCACCTCAAGCTGTATTGAAAATCTTCCTGAAGCCATCAGCTTTTAAAACAAATAAATGATTCTGTAATTAACTGGACAATTTAGATATAATAAAAACAATTTAAATTGGACAATGTAAAGCAGCTATATTAGAATCCATACCTGTATCTAGTCATGTAAATGTAATGGTTTATTTGCAAAACTCACTGAGAGAATTTTTTTTTTTAATTTTTGGAAAAATTTTATCATTACCAACAACTTATCCACCCAAATGAGAAAACTAGACAAATACTGATGTGTTTTAGTTAGCCAAGAAAGACTAGTTAAATGAGCATTTAAAAGTTCCTTCTAGAACTCAGCACAGGAGAGTAAGAGGAACAAAACAGGAGGACATTATGCTGAGTCAAAGAAGTCAATCACAAAAGGACAAATATTGTATGAAACCTCTACTGTATAACTCATGTAAAGGTTTACACACAAAAAGAAACAATCTTTGTTGGTTACCAGGGATGGGAGAAATGCGGGGGAACTAAATAGATAAGTGGTAACTTTGGTGAAGGGTAAGACAATACACGTTACTGGGGAAGCCCGCACAACTTGTTCAAGGAAAGGTCATGGAAGCTCCATAGACACTTCCAAACTCCCTGAGGGACTGAATTGCTGGGCAAAGGACTGTGTGGACCATGTCTCAGGGTCATCTAGCTCAACTGGCGTAACACAGTTTATAGAGACAATGTTCTACATTCTACCTTGGTGAGTAGCGTGTGGGGTCTTAAAAGCCAGTAAGCAGCCATCTAAGATACTCCACTGGTCTCACCCCTTCGGGAACAAGGGAGAATGAAGAAAAGAAGATACAAGGGAAAGATTAGTCCAAAGGACTAATGGACCACAACTACCACGGCCTCCACCAGACTGAGTCTAGTACACCTAGATGGTGCCTGGCTACCACTACTGACTGCTCTGACAGGGATCACAACAGAGGGTCCCGGACAGAGCTGGAGAAAAATGTAGAACAAAATTCTAACTCACAAAAAAAGACCAGACTTACTGGCCTGACAGAGACTAGAGAAGCCCCGAGAGTATGGCCCCTGGACAGTCTTTTAGCTCAGTAATGAAGTCACTCCAGAGGTTCACCCTTCAGCCAAAGATTAGACAGCCCCATAAAACAAAACGAGACTAATCGAGCACAAAGTCCAGGGACAAGGACTAGAAGGCAGGAGGGGACAGGAAAGCTGGTAATAGGGAACCCAAGGTTGAGAAGGGACAGTGTTGACATTGACATGTCGTGGGGTTGTTAACCATAGTCATAAAACAATATGTGTACTAACTGTTTAATGAGAAACTATTTGTTCTGTAAACCTCCATCTAAAGTACAATAAAAAAGAAAATCCCAATAGTTTTTTTTTTTAAACTATTGTGATATTTTGACCCTAGTGTGACAGATTTAGGTTATTTAAAATACTGACGTGGCTGAGAAGTGCAGCTTAAACAGACCATTTGAAATAAAAAACCTGGGCTGTGGTCATCATGAGAGACTGAGTAAGTATTTAAATCTCATTAATCATTTTAAAACCCCATTTGATTACAATGGATTACTACTTAGCAAAAAAAAAAAAAATAATGAATACCCGTAACAATAGGAATGAATCTCAAAATAACTATGCTGAGTGAAAGAAGACAAAAAAGAAAAAATACTGAAATAGCATCATTCCATTTATATAAAATCTAGAAAATGCAAACTAATCTATAGTGACAAAACTTTCACTGAAAACAATATTATTTTTCTTAAAATCTAAAAAGGACAAATATTGTATGACCTCACTTATATAAAAAGACAAAAACAGGCGAATGTATAGAGACCAAAAATTATTAGAGGTTAGCAGGGACAGGAAGGAGGGGGGGAAAGAGGAAGATATTGATTAAGGAGTACTGAGTTTTGGTTTACCGTGATGGAAAAATTTCATTGAATAAGGGTAGAGTTACACGGCTGATTAATGTAATTACTGTCAGTAAGTTGTACATCTGTAAAAAGTTGAACTGGCAATCATTACGTGATAGATACATTTACAATGAAAAAAAGAAAAAGAAAGAAAGAGTAAGTGCTAGGCTGCTTACGCACAACCAAACACCTCATGGGACTTGGTTCCTTGGTTTGGAGATTTAGGGTGCAGTGCAATAGGTCACTTTTGTTTGGCCTGTCTCGCCATGGGCTTGTAACTCCCACCCAAGCGATTGGGTGGGACTGTGCAAATAGGGCAATGGTGGCCCATCAAGGGGATTGGTCAGTTTTGCCATCCCACTGGGCTTGAAACGAGACATCCTAGAGGCAGGAAAGGAGAGGATCCCCCACCACCAAGAAAGAACAGCCAGGAATGGAGCACATTCTTTGGACCTGGAATCCCTGCACTGAGAAGCTCCTGGAACCAGGAGACAGAGAGAGACAGATGTAACACTGAAGACGACAAGAAGCAGTGGCAAAGAAATGGCAGCAGGAGAGACCGGCAGGAGATGGGGCAGTGGGCTTCCTAGCCCACAGAGCGAGAAAGCTGAGTGCCTTTGTGCCAAGGCTTACTGGCGGAGTGGGGTGCCTCTGGGCACTTATCAGCAGAGCTAAAAGAGCTTTGTAACACTTGCCCGAGCAAGACAGAGGCTGAGGCTAGGGAGAGGATTACCTGCAGCAAGGCTGGGAAGATGTCCTGGTAGGAAAACTGTACCCTGAGTGTTCCTGAGCCTGAATTGTAACCTGTTACTTCCCTAATAAACCCTATAATCATATTTTCTGTGAGTTCTGTGTGGCCATCGCAATGAATTATCGAACCCAGTACAGAAGTAGAGAGTGCCATGGGATACAGGGTCAGTGTCAGAGTTGGTAAGGATGGTGGAGTAAGGAGGCATGTCTGACCTCCACCTCATGGGAATCAGCCTTGAGCTGTTGATCTTGATTCTCCTCCCTCCATGTGAAGTTAGAGGAGATCAGATGCTGCCCCCACGCCATTCTTACAAGGGTTATGGTTTAATTGGACATTCTAGTTAATTGAAGCACTTACTGATGAGGATCAAAGACTACAGCCTTCAGTATGGATTACACCTCAGCATAAAGAAAACAAAAATCCTTACATCTGGACCAATAAGAAACACCATGATAAACAGAGAAAAGATGGAGGTTGTCAAGGATTTCATTTTACTTGGATCCACAATCAACACCCAGGGAAGCAGCAGTCAAGAAATCAAAAGACGCATTGCATCAGGCAAATCAGCTACAAAAGACCTCTTTAAAGTGTTGAAAAGCAAAGACGTCACCTTGAAGACTAAGGCGCGCCTGACCCAAGCCATGGTGTTTTCATTCACCTCATATGCATGCAAAAGCTGGACAATGAATAAGGAAGACCAAAGAAGAATTGACACTTTTGAATTGTGGTGTTGGCGAAGAATATTGAGTATATTATGGACTGCCAAAAGAACGAGCAAATCTGTCTTGGGAGAAGTACAACCAGAATGCTCCTTAGAAGCAAGGATGGCCAGATACATCTCACATGCTTTGGACATGTTATCAGGAGGGATCAGTCCCTGGAGAAGGACATCATGCTTGGTCAATGAAAAAGAGGAAGACCCTCAAGGAGATGGATAGACACAGTGGCTGCAACAATGGGCTCAAGCATAGCAACAATGGTGAGGATGGCACAGGACCAGGCAGTGTTTCGTTCTGTTGTGCATAGGGTCAGAACCGACTCGACGGCACCTAACAAGAACAACAACAACAAGTTAATTGGCCTAGTAACGTGTTTAGTGCTTCTGTTCTACCTCCTAGCTCACTGAGTGGTGCCTGAGGTCTTAAAAGCTTGCAAGCAGCCACCCAAGGTGCAACAGTTAGTCTCTATTTGCTTGGAACAACAGAGGAAGAAGGAGAGTTGGGAATAAGGAGAAGAAAATGGAACGTGTGCCTAACTGCCTCCATGAACATCTGCCTCCTTTGCCATGAGACCAGAAGAACTGGATGGTGCTTGGCTACCATTACTGAATGTTTTGATCAAAGATTCTATAGAAGACTCCTGATTAAAAAGGCGAAAATGCAGAACAGAGTTTGAAATTCTCATGGACTCCAGACTTTCTGAAGCCATGGAGACTGGATGAACCCCTGAAACTATTGCCCTAAAATAATCTTTAAACCTTAAACCAAAAATATCTAGCTTACTAGCTTAACTAGTAAAGAATGTCTGCCTTGAGCATGGAGCTCTTTTAAGATCTATCTACATGGGATCAAACTGACAACAGTAACTCGAAAGATTACATGGAAACCTTAGCAGGCGGTGAGTTCATGTTAATCAGGGAGGAACAATGCAGAAAAGGGTGAGAATGGCTTGGCAACTTGAAGAATGTAGTCGGTGTCACTAAATTGTAGATGTAGAAACTTGAATTGGTGTATGCTTTTGTTGTGTATATTCTCAACAACAATTTAAAAAAATAAACTATTTAAAAAAAAACTGTAGTGACAGAAAGCAGATGGGTGGTTGCCTGGGCATGGGGGAGGAAGGGATTCAAAACAGGCAACAACAAGGAAACTTTCGACAGTGGTAGGTATGTTCACCATCCTGACTGTAGTGATGGCTTCCTGGCGCATACATACGTCAAAACTTAACAGATTGTACATTCTAAATATGTGCAGTTTATTGTGTATCATTTGTACCTCAGTAAAGCTGTTTTTTAAAAATCCCAAGTCACTACCTTTCTTCTTGACATGACTTTAGTGTGAAAAGCCTAGTCTCCTACCTGCCTATTTCTCCACACAGCATCGAAAAGATGAACACCCAGTGGCCATGATTTGATCAGGTGCACAGTTTTCTCTTTTCCTCAGTGCTGAGTCAAGACTGGGAGGTGTATTGTTAACTGTCCCACTGTTCTCTGCGAATAAAGCAGTATGTAGATCGACCCTTTTAGGCCGGTTCCCCATCAGTACTTCTCCACAGTTCACAGGATGGACACTAATTACAAGCAACCAGTCAAATCTTGTTTTCTGTTACTCAGGTTTTCAGCAATGAACAAAAATTCATAGAGCACTTCTCCCCCTTATAGGCACAAAAGCCTAGAGCTGATACAGACTTTGCACATCAGTGACTTAATCCAGCTATAAAGTGATATATTCACTCTTCCACACACAAAAGTTAGTCATTGCTATTCCACTGTATACCTTTGACATTATACAATGTCCAAGTTGTTCTTTGGAAAAGGAATTTTTCTCGAAGCTTATACTTCATGCATACTGTGGGCGACCTACCCAATAGCCACCGGCCCTGCCATTCCCTTTCTGGCTGGCAGAGCTACCACTATTAGGCAGATATGCACTTTCTCAACGCTCCATGTAGTCAGGGCATGGAATCTGATTCAATCCTGGTCAATGGGAACTAAGGGAGAATCTGAGAATTTATGGAAAAGGTTTACCACCCTGATAAAGAGAGATGTGAGGAGAAACTGCCCTTCCTGCCTTTAGGCACAGTTATCTGAGGACATAATGCCCAGAGCAGCCATCTTGTAACTGAGGGGATGGTCTAAGGACAAAAGCCACACAAGGATGGCCAAATGGAAAGCTGGAAAGAATCTTCATCTGAGTGTCATTGTTCAGCCACTGAATTAACCAACAAACTTCATCTAGACCTCTTGTTGTGTGAATGTCCTTTATATGCCCTTATGCCACTTTTATGGTATCCTGTTACTTGTAGCCAAAAGCAAACTTCTGATACAGGCATTAACCTCACTGTTGGTTTTATAAGCTTCTTGGGAATTATGTGACTTGCACCTACTTTTTCTATAAGAGCAACATTGATTTATGTCCCTGCGGTTTTGCTGTCTTCTCTGTACTTAGTGATAAAATTAATCAATTTTGGATGGTAAAGTGATATGTTGCAGTTGTTCTAAGAAATCTCTGTTGCTTTACCTGAGAGATCATGGTGCTTTGCTTGAAAATGACAAAAAGCTTTGATAGCTTCATGCTGCTATTTGACAAAGTTTCATAATGGACAATAGCCTAGGAACAAACAGTCAGCTGACCCAATAAAATCCAATTTTGAGATGGCATAATATTTTCTAGACATATTTTAATTTTTTGGCTCACGGTCACTCATCCCAGCATTCATATATCCCTATGCTATATATGCACTGGAATCTCACTCAATATTTATTTTGATGATATTATTCTAAGTTGTAGTGATTTTTTTTTTTGGTATCGCAACTTTCATTCTTCGGTGAATCCCTTCTGAGCCATTGATCTATTCTTGTGGTTAGTAGATATAATGCAATAGAATAGCAACCCTGAAACATGCAAATTTAATAAATGTAAACAATAATGCACAAAGGAAAATTATGTAAAGACAACACCTTGTTGCCTGAATGTTAGACAAGAGCCCACTGCAGTCCTTGTAGCCCGTGCACAGCCTTTAAGGACACAGTTGTTAAGGATGTAGCAGGACTTCTGTGAAAATCACGTTTCATACGTGTGAGATACGTTGTTTGTTGCTGTTAGTGCCATCAAGTCCGTTCCGACTCATAGCGACCCTATAGGGCAGAGTAGAACTGCCCCATAGGGTTTCCAGGGAGCAGCAGGTGGATTTGAATTGTCGACCATTTGGTTAGCAGCTGAGCTCTTGACCTCTACACCTCCAGGGCTCTGTGTGAGATATTTGGGGTAAATCTGTTTCTTGCTTTTTTCCTCCCCAAAAAACCCGAGTGGAACACCTGAGACCACCAGTTGTTCGTGAAACACGTTTTGAAAAAATACCACTCTAGGGCTGGATTCTCATCTGAGACCTCACCTAAGGATACTGCATAGTAATTGGTCCTCCTGGGACTCAAAAGCTTCAAAATCCAAAGGGTAGATGGCTGATGGGAGAGATATTTTTCAGCTTTCCCTTTCCCTCAAATCACATGATCAAGTGCTTCCCTCTTCCATTTTCCTGAGTTCCTTGGTGGTGGCTGCAAACGTCGGATCTCTCCAGGGCGGGGAAAAGCTCAGTGCCAGGCCCTGATGAGATTTATGCTGGGATGGGTGGTCACCTCATTGGGTACAACAGGTCCCTGACATGGGACTCCAAAGTGCTCTCCAATCACTGTCCATATGCAACCAGCATCTCCTTTAACACATCCCTGTATTTGTAAGAAACACCTGTGTATTGATTCACTCCATCTAGGAGAAGAGCCAGCAGGGCTACCCTTTCTCTATCCTCGTGTCCCCACAGCCCTGTAGCCCCATCACTTTCCCACAGCCTTAAGAATGGAGTGAGCAGATTAAGATGTCAGGTTACCCTCAACATGGGGATGTTTATGACACCCACTCTGGTTAACTGTATTGTCCTGGCCCCAGGCCTCAGGGCTTGCCAGGGTCCACCACTACGGTAAGGGGAGGCTAAGGTCGTTGTCCAGTACTCACATCCATAAAAAGCCTTAATTTAGACCTTTGACATAATTCCCAAGAAAGGTACACACATCATTTTGTATATGCTAATTTGTTAAAGGAAACATTTAAAATACACATTTCTTGGTAATCATTTTCTGACATCCTTCATAGTTTTAATATATTTGGAGCCTCAAAAAAAAAGAAAGAAAGAAAGTGGCCTGGGCCTCTTTTGACCTCTGAGAGGCCCTGGAATGGACTGAGCTACAGTGGCATTGGGGCAATGCTGCTGATAAGGGGACACTCCTCCCTGCCAGCCAGCAATGGTGACCAATGTAGGGGAGGCAGGGTTATGAGTTCCAATGTGCGACCAGTTCATTCCCAATTCAGTTTGAGAAATCTGGGCTGAGATTACCAAGATGAAGCTAAGACCCAATGCTGACTGTATTTTAGTGGAAACAAGGATGAAATGGAGGCACAGAGCGTAAACTGGATTTCTAACACCAGGCTGGAGAGTTCAGACATTATCCTGAAAGCAACAGGGAGCCACTGAAGATGGGTGAGGACAAGTGGTTTGTAACAAACAACACTGGTGACTAGTGCAAGAACAGAGACTGGAGTCTGGGGCTATTGTCCATGTATTTCTAGGAAGAAATTCCAAGCCAAGACCGCTGGGGGGGCACCGCAGGGTCTCTATGGTGGGAGTTTCTAGTTAGAGCTTTGATGAGACGAATGGCCTTTCCCAGGCAAGGTTTCTAAAAGGCTAAAAGCAGCCTGATCCCAACCTCCCTCACGGGGAATGTTTCTTTCTCCTTGGGCCTGACTTAGGTGAGAGTAAGAGGACTGGAAAATCTCTGAGGGGAGAGCAAGTCCAAAGGAGAACTGGAGGTAGGAGCAAGAGTTGCTTATTTGGCAACTAGGGAGTTTGATTTCCCATTTTCTGGGGCATTCTCTCCCCTTGCTTCCTCCAACATTTCCTTGTACTGGCGTTTGAAGAAGCCAACCTGTAGGAGGAGGAAGAAGAAAATCAGGAAGTCCAGTGGAAGAGAGGGTAAGAGATGACTATGCATCACCACCATTTCTGGAACCCCTACTATGTTCAACACACTGTGCTAGAAACTTTATATACATTATGTCATTTAGACTTTACCACAATTCTGTGAGCTGGGTAGGATTACCTCCAGATTAAGAATCCAAGACCCAGAGTGGACCAAGCACTTGCCTACAGTCACAGAAAGAATCAGTGGTGGTGTCAACATTCAAACCCAGGTCTGTGTTTTTGCACCATAACCTGTTACCAAGGGAAATATATAAAGAGGTGGACAAGAATGGAAAAGAAAGGGAGAGAGATTAGAGAAAGCATGAGAATTGGATAGAAAGGTATAAATGTAGGGAAGAATTAGGCACTGGTAGTGTCATGGGTGGGAAAAGACCTCTCACATTAAGTAACCTAGCAAGGATGTGCACCCAGTCTTGCCTGACTCCCAAAGTGAGCTCTTTCCTACACTGTAGACAGAGTGGGATCCGATGCTGGTGGTGTTAAGGATAGAATAAAACACTCACCTTGTACAGTGTGGCTGCAATGAGAGCCAGTAGCAGCAGACCTCCCACGGAGCCACCCATGATAAGGAAAATTGGGTTGTATACATCATATTTCTCCAATACTGTCTCAATCTGGAGTGGAGATGACCCCGTCAGAAAGCATCAAGCCTCTTGTTATCCCAGATTCCCCACACCTCTTCAACATGCATCTCCCCTCTGCCAACTCCCAGTTTGTTTCTCTCCTTTCACAGCCCTGCTTCAAGAAGTAAGATGCAAAAGCATCCATAGACTCAAGGCCTTCATCTTCCTCCCTCTAGGCTTGCAAACACTCACCCAGCATTACAGATTTAGTATCAGGAACCCCTTTACCAGCCTGGCCACTGTCTACCACACAGTCAATACCTGGGCTGTCATAAATGCTTCCTGTCCTGGATGCTGGGAATACATGGCTCTGTCGAATGTGATTTCAGCGACACTCACGACCAATATCTTCTTCTGCAGTGTCTGCAAAAGAGAGAAGAAAAGCTGGAGAACTGGCTCTGAGGAAGGTTCAAAATTCAAAAAATGTCCTGACTCTAGGGTGGGCAGAGACACATCAGGTGCCACCTGAATCTGGGGGAGAGGCTCTGCTGTTGGGCTATACACACCTGGCTGACCCACCCAAAGCTGAGGTTGCCCTTCAGGATGAAGTCAAGTTCCTCTTGGATGTCAAAGGACTGGATGTCACAATGGAACCTCTTGCAGACTGCAATGGAGCAGTCCTAGGGACAGAGAAGCAGCATCAGGCCAGAGAAAGATGGGCTTGAAGGTAGAAGACAGCGTTAAACTGTCTGATTTGAGGGGAGCAGCCACATCTGAATACAAGAGGGCCATTCAGCAGGTGCCCATCTGAATGTAACACAGATTCTTTAATTAAATTCCTCTGGTGTGTGGTTAGAAAGGAGGCCAGTGCAAATCAATCCTTACCAGCACAGGATTCTTCTGAATATGGGTCAGGAAGTCAGACTCTGTGGGCTCTATTTTGTCTGAAGGGCATGAAACGGACATATTCTAAGAGAAGACAAAGAATGAGCATATCAGTGGGGGCGTCAGGGATCCATGAGGGACACAGAGAATCCACGTAAAGGGCATTAGTGGAGGAGCCATACACAATCCTCAATACCTGGAGTTGAAGGACCTCAATGTCTGTCCACACAGCCACCTGGTTCAGCTCCACGGGCACCCAGAAGTTGATACTGACAGGCAGGTCCCTCTGTCCTAGGTTGTTCAACTGCGCAGAGAGCAATGAGAGCAGAGCCAGACCCTACACTTCTCCCTAATCTCCATCCCCTGCCCCAGCCCAGGATCCTGGGTCTCTACCACTTGCCTGGTATCTATGTTTGACCACACTGCTTCCTTCCTCCTCTGAGTCTGAGAAGTTGAGGTACGTGGTGGATTGCTCATGGCTGTGGAGAGAAGAGGCATGGATAGATTTGAAGTTCCATGGGGGCCTCCTGAGGAGGCTCTGGCTGGGAGTATGATGAGACAGACGATCAGTGGGGTCTTGGGGTGACCTTGGTTGAGATCCGTGTCTGCTTTGGAGGTTATGGGAGGCTTTAGGGAGCAGGAATGGGCTTCAAGCTGGGTGCAAGGTGCTTGCAGAAGCTTCCCACAGAGAAGACTGCCAAGGGGGCTGGGCAGGGGGTGCAGTAGAAGGACCTGAGAGCTATGCCACTGACTCATTGGGGGAATGCGAGCTGGGGCCAACCCTTCTTTGCACCTCAGTTTTCTTTTCAAGCCTTCATGGGCATGTAGGATGATGGACAGGCAGGTAGGACACAGCAAAGCTTTGGGGAGACTCAGGCTGTCGCTGTTGACCAAGTGTCTACCGGACAGTGTCCTTTTCTGGTCTCTCACAGGCCTTCTCTGGGGATCCTTCTCCCCTGCTTCCTTGGCTTTTCTGGGCCTGGGGCTGGCAGGTGAGGGAAGGCCCAACAGCAGACTCTTCACCGGGCCTCAGTTTAACATCTCCTCTGGCCTGCTGTGGCCTGGAGAACCAGTGACCAGCCTGACCCCTCACATGGGTGGCTGGTCCCATCTTGGCACCTCCCAGTCTTTCTCTCTGGGCACCTCTCCCTTGCCTGCATGATCCAAATTTCATCCTACCACATCCTACTCTGACGTCTCTTCCCTCCTCTGCCAAGAGACTCCCCACAAAACACCAGAGCCTCATGCTGAGGGTCCCTCTAAGTGCCCCCACCCACAGAGCCACACCTACAGAGTGCAGCTGAGCTGTAGGGCAATTCATGCCTAGATGGGTGTGCCCTGCCTGTGGGTCCCTGGCAAGGATGTTTGCAAACCCCAAGGCACACTGCAGCAAGCAAGCTGACAGCATACATCTGGCTGAGCTGCTGAGTGCCCTCAAGTGTGCAGGCGCGTGTGAAACTCCGGGGAGGAGAACATTCAATGAGACATGTGGGTGGAACTGGCAGGGGAGTGTACCCAGGCTAAGCTACACAGGCCCACTACACATCACGAATTTAAGTGCCACAGGAGAGAGATTTATGTCTGCTTTTTGATTACCCATGACAGGGGCTCAATAAATCTTTATTGAATGTAGAATGAATTTATGGAAAGCAACCACAGGCAGATGACAAATGCTAAAGAGGTATTTGCTGATGTCACTCTTTTGCTCAAACACTTGTCTTGAGATGGCGCTTTAGTGCCAAATACCTCAAGTTTAATTCTTCTTGGGCAGCATTTTAAGGCCCTGTGCTTATATTCAGCTTCTTCTCGACACTCAACCTCTGTGGAAGGTGGATCATCTCTCCCTGTCCTTCCAAAATGGGACTTGGAAAAGGGAAGGTTGAGTGGTCACAATGATAGAAGCACTGCTGGCATTTGGTGAGCAAGGAGGTGTAAGAGCTTCAGAGACAGGGATATGTCTCATACATATATCTCTTAGGGAACCTAGGACAGTCTTAGAGGTTTTGGAAAAGCTGTCTAAGAACTGTAACCCCTGTTAAATATAGAATATAATGATAATAATATCACAATTATTATTATCATAGTTAGCCCATAATAAACACTCATTGATTAATTAATAAGTACTACTAGCAGTATCATCTACCCATCCGAAGGGTAGTGATAATAAAACCTAAAAATAGCCAGATGTTCATCTATTGCATAGGGTGTAAAAGGCACCCCCCTAATCAGGGTGGTAGAGGGAACTCTTTTGAGGTCAAGATGTGGCACCTGCTGATCACGGTGTAGACGGCATACTTCACAGGGAGCTTCTGCAGAAAGGTGGTCTTGTTGGTCCTGGGGGTGTTATTCTCACTAAAGAAAGAGGAGGAGTCCAGTTGGGAAGGGCCTCAGAGAAGGAGGCTGGAGTGACAGGAGCACTGTCCCTGGGCCTGCCCACTCACCTGCTCACATTGGCCTACAGAAGCAGCTGGTCTCCCAGCACAGCCCTGGGGGAGATGTCAAAGGTGGCTACGAAGGTGATCTGAGGAAGAGGTGGGCAAAGGGGAAGTCACAGACAGAAGGGTGAGACAGAGTGGGAGGAGGGGATTCAGAAGTGGAAGGATGCAAGGCTGACCTGGATGCCCTCACGGAAGATGAAGTGGTTGATGCCACAGCTGGTGCTCTGAAGGCCCTGACTCTCGGCTGGGGTGCTGTCACATGTCAGGCGCAGGGAGAGGTGCAGCTGGCTCTAGGCAGGGGCAGGTTTGAAAGAAAGGCAGATGAGCATTTGTTGTGTTTCAGAGACCCCACAAAAGAGTGACAGTTTCCCAGAATCTGCCATAAGGTTATGTTTTTAAAAAGATCCTAAGACGCTATACGATCAAACTTCCTCCCAATGTAGAAATCCCAGATGTGAGTTTAATTAGAGTTTGTTATTTATTGCTATTTTAAAAAAGCTTTTTATTCTGGAAATTTTCAAACATATTCAAAAGTAGAGCAACTACCATAGACACATCCAAACTCCCTGAGGGACCAAATTGCTGGGCAGAGGGCTGTGAGGACCATGGTCTCAGGGAACATCTAGCTCAATTGGCATAACACAGTTTATAAAGAAAATGTTCTACATTCTACCTTGGTGAGTAGCATCTGGGGTCTTAAAAGCCAGTGAGCAGCTATCTAGGATACTCCACTGATCTCACCCCTTCGGGCACAAGGGAGAATGAAGAAAAGAAGATACAAGGGAAAGATTAGTCCAAAAGACTAATGGACCACAACTACCATGGCCTCCACCAGACTGAGTCCAGTACAACTAGACGGTGCCCGGCTACCACCACTGACGGCTCTGACAGGGATCACAACAGAAGGTCCCAGACACAGCTGGAGAAAACTGTAGAACAAAATTCTAACTCACAAAAAAAGACCAGACTTACTGGCCTGACAGAGACTGGAGAAACCCCAAGAGTATGGCCCCTGGACACCCTTTTAGCTCAGTAATGAAGTCACTCCTGAGGTTCATCCTTCAGCCGAAGATTAGACAGCCCCATAAAACAAAACGAGACTAATGGGGCACAACAGTCCAGGAACAAGGACTAGAAGGCAGGAGGGGACAGGAAAGCTGGTAATAGGGAACCCAAGGTTGAGAAGGGACAGTGTTGACGTTGACATGTCATGGGGTTGTTAACCATTGTCATAAAACAATATGTGTACTAACTGTTTAATAAGAAACTATTTGTTGTGTAAAACTTCATCTAAAGTACAATAATAATAATAATTTGAAAAAAGAAAGAAAATAGGGCAACTAGATAAATTAACCTGCATGTGCCCATCACCTAACTTAAATTACCAACATTCTTCTACTCCTGTTTTTTCAGCTGTTCTGTACTTTTTTGGGTGTGTGTGTGAATACTTTAAAGCAGCTTCCAGCTATTATGTCAATTCATCCAGAAATACTTCAATGTATGTAACTAACACATAAGAATTTTTTTTTTAACATAACCAGAAGACCACTATCACACCCAACAAAATTAGCAATAACTCCTTAACATTAGCTACTACTCAGGTCATATTCAGTTTTTCCAGATTGTCTCCAAAAATGTCATTTTACACTTGTTAAAATCAAGATCTAGCAAGAGTTCACACCTTACATTTGGTTGATATGTCTAGGAGTGCTTTCAATAACACGGCCCTTCCTCCCTCACATAGCAGGAGATCTCTGATTCTTAATGAGTTCTTTCATACATCAAGTCAAAATATGCTCCCATTAGGAACATCAGACTAAAAGGGATATGAGACATAACTAGATGTGATGTGGGACCCAGTTTAGATCCTGTTTCAAATAAACAAGTTGTAAAAACACATTTTTGAGACAATTAGGGAAATTTCATCATGGTCTGATATCAAGGAATTGTTAGTTTTATTGGATGTGATAATGGCATTGAGTTCACTTAAGAAGATGTCCCCACTGTTCAGAGCTATAAACTGAAATAAGGAGGTATGCAATGACATGATTTGTGAGATTTCTTTTAAAATACTTCGGCAAAGAAAAGAAAAGATCAAACAAATGCGACAAAATGTTGATAATTGTTGAATCTAGGTGATAAGTTTTGAGGGGTTTGTTGAACTGCTCTCTATTTTTCTAACTGTTCAAATTTTTTCATAATAAATTTTTTTGTTAAAAATCTGTTTCTCTTTGACTTCCTGCAGTTCTAGTTCTATCTTCTAGAACAGATCCACCCCCTCTTTTTGTAAATGAAGTTTTATTGGAACACAGCCACACTCACTCATTTACACGTTGTTAATGGTCGTTTTCACACTTCAACAGCAGAGATGAGCAGCTGCAGCAGAGACCGGATGGCCAGCAAAGCTGAAAATATTTACTATCTGGTCTTTTATAGGAAGTTTGCCAACCCCTGATCTAGAGTAACCAATAAATCCAACCCTTCTACAGGGCGGTGTTTTAAAATGTTTGAAGGCTGAGATATGTTTTTCCCAAGAAGAAGAAGATGGATATGATGAGGAATACAAAAAAATTTAAGGCAAGGTCCTTTTTCCACATCAGTGGCCTCCTGGGAACTCATTCCTGATGGTCAATGCCCAGAGCTGAATGCAGCATGAGCCTTGGCAAGCCCAAGAAAGCACAACTGCATCCATCTAACCAAGAATGCTCCAGACTTCTTGGCATATGAAAGCCTGCTAAGCAACAGCGGCCCCAGTCTGAATTTTGAACCCAGCTGCAGGAGTCTATACTGATCCTCAGCCTATCAGCCGTTTCCTTCCCCAAAGCTGGAATACCTGGACCTCTGTTACACGTCGATAGGACAGCCCTTCAGGGTAGAAGAAGGTAATTTTAGTTCCATAGGAATCCTCGCCGTCATTCCACACTGTCACTTTCACGTTCAGCTCCAGGTTACTCCCGACCACCAGGGTCTTCAGGCTAGGTGTTGGGGTGGAGGGAGGAGATGGTTCAGTGACTGAGGCTAGAAACAGTCTGGGTGGGGAGGTTGGAGATAGATAGGACAGGATACCTGGGTTCTGAGCATAGAAGAGTAGCATTAGGGAGAACTAGGGGTGGAATTGCCAGATTCTGGAAGGGAAGGTGGGAGACTAGGGCAGGTCTAAGGCTCACCCTGAGAAGCTAAAGAAGATACCAAGGTCATCCTGGCAGACATGGTCAGTCCCGCAGTTCTTCCCAAAGGGTAGCTGGGAGGGAGACAAAGAAAGGTTTTCCCCAAGATTCGAGGTCTGCATCCCCACTCCCTCTGGGAGACCCTGACACCAGGACTCACAGAGGCCATGAAGTATCTCTCAGCATCCACGGCCAGCATGGGCTTGAGGTCTCCAGAGGAAGGAATGGGCTTGCCCACAAGGGAGAAGTTGAGACGCAAGGTGATGGGGGTCACTGAGTCTTCCACACAGGCCTAAAGGACAGACATTGAAGAAAGCTGGTGGTTAAGGAAAGACACTCAGGGAGTTACTAGCTGTGTCCCAGTCTCCTCATCTATAAAACGGGTAATAAAGATACCTACCTGTGCTCAATAAATGTTTGTGATTATTATTAATCTGCCATGCATTCTTACCCCTCAGAACCTTTGTCTTTGCTGTCCTCTGCCTTGACCCACTTGGCTCAGTCATGTTTTTCAGTGTCTACTCACACTTCGGAAACCCTGGTGGCATAGTGTTTAAGTGCTACAGCTGCTAACCAAAAGGTTGGCAGTTTGAATCTACCAGGCACCCTTTGGAAACTCTATGGGGCAGTTCTACTCTGTGCTATAGGGTTGCTATGAGTCGGAATCCAATCGACGGCAACGGGTTTTTTTGGTTACTCACACTTCACCTCCTCCAAGGGGCCTCCCGAACACCCTCTCTGTTTCCTTCCCTGGCTTTATCTTTCTTCATAGCATTGACCACTACCTGACATCTATATCTTGGAACTTGTGAGTTTTGGGCCTTCCCACCCCAACCTGTGAGCTCCCTGTAGGCAATGACTGTTTTATCTACTACTGAGTCCCCAGCACCTAAAACAGAGCCTATTCCACAGGAGTGGCTTGAAAAATATTTGTCAAATGAATCACAGAAAGAATCCCAGCCGATAGCCCCATAGTTCTCCAGAGCAGCCATAATTTCTTCCCTGAAATCCAGCTGTGTATTCTCTGGCAGTTACAGCTGACCTCATTCATTCATTCACTCACTCACTCATTCAGCTAACATGTGTTAAGCACCTCTTGCATGCCAGATCCTATGCTGGGGCTGGGGCCACAGAGAGGACCAGAATGTGCTCCTGTGTGCTGCCTACCCCACTGCCAGCCTCAGAATCACCTCCATCCATGTCACTCTTTTCCCAGGAGCCCTAGGACCCTCACCAGGAGGAGCAACTTCACAGCCTTACAATGCTGACCAAGCCCAAGGTCTTGGACTACGGTCAGATTCCAAGTCTTTGTTTCTTTGAAGATGGCACGGGGACTCAGGCGGCCTGGGTCAAGGGTCAGGTCAAAGGTCACAGAGCTCTGGAGGTCACCTGTAGGGGAAGCAGGATATGGGGAAGGATGAGAGAGCCAGGAGCTCCTCAGGTGAGCAAGGGGCAAAGGGCAAGGCAAGAGACAGGAGTGCTGGCCTGGGGGCCTCCAAGGGATCAGGGTGTCCTGGGTTGGACAGGAGGTAACTCACCAAGCTGGTTCTTGAAACTTGAGTCAATATGAAGGCAGACTACGGCATTACCCAGCTCCTGGACAGAGGCTACCTGCCCCCGACACTCAAACACGGACCTTGCAATTTCTGCAGGTGTGAAGTTCATGCTTACCCCCACACTGAGCACAGGCCTGGTCCTGTGGGCAGAACACTGAGCTAAGGACAGGTTTTTGGTCCCTGGGACAGGGAGAAGGGGGCTGGGTGTCTGAGGCTGGACCTAGGACCATACCGGGAGTGTCTGAGGAAACCCATTCTCACCTGAGCAGCAGCGCGTGTCCTCGGGCCCCCACAGCCAGGTCCACAAGCCCATCCTTGGTGAGATCCTGACCCCCACTCAGTGACTGCCCAAAATACTGCAGTTCTAGAGAGAGCTGGGAGCCTGTGATCCTCTGGCCAGAAAAGAAAAAGAAGAATCAAGTTGGGGAGCAAGGGGAATAAATTAGAAATAAGTAAATGAAAAGGAGGGAGGTAGAAATGTGGGCAATAGAAGGGGCGAGGGGTGAAAAGATGTCACCAACAAATGCCTAAACAGAGGGCGCGGGGTTCGGGGGGGAATGATGACTGGAAAAGAGAAAAGATTCCTAATGAATAAATGAAGAAAAGGAGATTTAAAATCTTGGCTTGAGATTCATTCACTCATTCAGTTAGTCTCACGTTCAAATTCTGGCTCCTCCATTTATAAGCCATGCTTCAGTTCCCTCATCTTTCACTTGGGAATAATAATACCTCAGAGTTTAGCGATAAGCATTAAATGAATTAATTCATATAGTTCTTAGAACAGCACCTCGCATATGATCAACGGTCAATAACTTCTTATGAAGATTATTAGGGCTGGAAGGGGCATCAGAGCTCATGCAGCCCCACTCCCCACTTCACAGATGCAGGAGAGAAGTCACACAGCCTCTAAGAGGCCAACTCCAGACCTGAAATCAGATCCTCCGACCCCAAACCCAAGGCCCCTTTTTGCTACCCTTTGCCACCCTGTCTCTTCAGAGGACCAAGAAGAACCAAGTGGAGGTAGGAAGTGGCTGTACCTACACCCTGACTGTACCCTCCGGGAATCACCTTCCCTATGGATCCTTTCCCTATTATTCCCATTACTCTGTAGCACCCAATTCCTTGGAGAATGTGCCGTTTAACCTCTGGGTATCCCTGGGACTAACAGACATTAAGAGTAATACTAATAATAAAATAAAAAAAGAAATTTACCTATTACTAAGGAAGTTTAGAAAGGAAAGGGGTGTGGTGAGGAGAGACAGAAATAGCACAAACACAGCAAGTGGACAACACTAGGGTCTTCACACCCAGGAAAGCTAATCTCATGACCATAGCCTCACATTTGGTGTGTGAGCAAGTGGAGAACAATGCAAGTCAAGTATGTAATGGGCTATGTGATGAGGTAGGAAGAAGGAAAAAGTCATGGTGGGGGCAGTGAACCCAGAAAGGCCTCCTCTTTGAGTCAGGCCTTGTGGGTATAAACCAAGTAATACCTGCAATCAAGCATCTAAGCAGATTCACCTCTAGTCACTGAAGCAAAGGAGCTTCAACAAGTTGGTGTGAACTGAATACAGTTTTCATGAGATGTGTTGTTGTCGTTTGCCATGGAGTCAATTTCAACTATAGCGACCCTATAGGACAGAGTAGAACTGCCCCATAGGGTTTCCAAGGCTGCAGATCTTTATAGAAGCAGACCACCACATCTTTGTCCCGCAGAGCAGCTAGTGGGTTTGAACTGCTGACCTTTTGGTTGGTAGCCGGGCGCTTCACCACTGCGCCACCAGGGCTCCTTTCATGACACGCGGGCCCTTGTTATTCTCAACGAGACCTTTCACCCTCTTCTTAAAGTGCCATGTTCTATAGTTGTTAAGCTGTATTAATGATAACAATAATAGGAGCCCTGGTTGCTCAACAGTTAAGCACTAGGCTGCTAACCGAAAGGTCAGTGGTTGGAACCTACCCAGCAGCTCCTCGGGAGAAAGACCTGGCGATCTGTTCCTGTAAAGATTACAAACTAGAAAACTCTAGGGGGCAGTTCTACTCTGGTCATATGGGGTCACTGTGAGTAGAAATTGATGTGATGGCACTTAAAACAACAAATACTTAAAAATGGCTTGTGGTAAAAATAGTAATAGTAATAATAGATTGTACTACCTAGTATGTGCCAGGCACTGTTCTAAGCACTTTATACGTAGTAACTCATTTAATCCTCACAGCAGCAGCCCAGTGATTCTATTATCATCACTATTTTACAGATGAGGAAACTGAGGCCTAAAGAGGTAACTTGACCAAGATCACACAGCTAGTAATTGACAGAACTGCAGAACGCTTCCCTGACTTTTTTTTTCTTGGTAACAGTTTCATATCATATTCACATACCATACAATACATCCTTTTAAAGTATACAGCCCAAGGGTTTTTAATATGCTCACACAGTTGTGAACCATAACCACAATCAATTTTAGAACATTTCCATCACCCCAAAAGAAGTCCCATAACCTTTAGCAGTCACTCCTTATTCTCATTTCCCCTTCCCCTCAGCTTTAACCCTTTGCTGTCTAGTCGGTTCTGACTCATAACAACCTTATAAGACAGAGTAGAACTGCCACATAGGGTTTCCAAGGAACAGCTGGTGATTCGAACTAATGACCTTTCGGTTAGCGGCCGTATCTCTTAACTACTGTGCAACCACTCCTCTACTTTCTGTCTCTATAGATTTACCTGTTCTAGACATTTCATATAAGTGGAGCCATGCAATATGTAGTCCTTTGTGACTAGCTTCTTCCACTTCGTGCAGTGTTTTCAAGATTCATCTGTGTTGGAGCACATAGCAGTACATCATTCCTTTTCATGGCTGAATAATATTCCATTGTATGGATAGACCGCATTTTATTTATCCGTTCATCAGCTAGTGGATATTTGGTTTGTTTCCACCTTTTGGCTATTATGAATAATGCTGCTATGAACATTCATGTACAGCTTTTTGTGAGGACACATGTTTTCATTCTTGTTGGGCATAGCTAAGAGTGGAATTAATGGGTCATATGATAACTCTACGATTAATGTTTTGAGAAACTGCCAGGCTGTTTTCCAAAGTGACTGCACCATTTTACATTTCCACCACAATGTGTGAGTGTTCTGATTTCTCCACGTTCTCACTAACACTTATTATTATCTATCTTTTTTATTATAGCCATCCTAGTGTGTGTGAGTGGTATCCCATTGTGGTTTTGATTTGCGTTTCTTGATAACTAATGATTTTGAGCATCTTTTCATATGCTTATTGGCCATTTGTATGTCTTCTTAAAAATATCTATTCATATCTTTTGCTTATTTTTTAAAAATAATGTTTTTTTTGTTGTTGTTGTTAAGAATATACACAGCAGAACATACACCAATTCAACAATTTCTATGTGTACAATTCAGTGACATTGATTACATTCTTCAAGTTGTGCAACCTTTCTCACCCTCTTTGTCTTAATTGTCCCTCCCTCATTAACATAAACTCACTGCCCCCTAAGTTTCCTATCTATTCTTTTAAGTTACTGTTGTCAATTTGACCCCATATAGATAGTTCTTAAAAGAGCATAATGCTCAAGGCAGACATTCTTTATTAATTAAGCTAAACTACTGTTTGGTTTTAAGAAGACTTCAGGGGATAGTTTTAGTTTAAGGTTTAAGTTTAAAGATTATCTCAGGGCAATAGTTTCAGGGATTCATCTAGCCTCAATGGCTCCAGAAATTTTACATTCCATTAAAATTAGAAATCCTCTTCCACATTTTCCCCCTTTTGATCAGGATTCTTCTATAGACTCTTTGATCCTCAGTAATGGTCCTTTGCTTATTTTTTAGTCAGGGCCTCCTTAACTTTTGCCAAGGGAAGCAGTCCTCCCTTCTTAGGGAACCCTGCCCAATTGGTGGGAGGCTCCTGTCTAGACAGGCACATGGTAGGATTGCTGATGGCAGGAAGGGAATAAAGTGATGCAGCATCTGGGAGGATGAATGAGTGAGTGCACAGGCAGACTGAGACAGCCATATCTAAACCGAAGGATAACAGGGAGCCACCAAGAGACCAAGCACTGGGTTAGGAGTCAGGAGTCATCACTGTTCTTGATTCTGTATATAACCCTGGACAAGCCAAGTCATTTATCTTCTCCCTACCTCATATTTCATCTGTAAAATGGGTTTGCTAATGCCTGGCCCATGTACCTTGTAAAGCTGCTGGAGAGATTAAAAGGCCTGGTGGAGAACTCATTCAAGTATCAAGTCCCCATACAAAGCAGGATATGTTCCAGTCAATGTCAATTTCTCAAGTTCCACAGATTTTTCTTTTCGCCTACAAGATGCCCATTGCTTCACAAGAGAGGTCAGATGAGGTAAAAGAGGAAGATTTTCCAGGTGGCAGTGTGAAAGGAGAGAGAAGCAAGGAGAAAGCTGTTATAATAACAGGAACAATGACCAGGTCTCACCTGGCTGTGGGAGGGGCTGATGTCCAGTCCTGATGCTCCATGAAATATGTAGACAGCACCCCGGTTCTCCTGCTCCCCTGGTGCTCCGATGGCCACATCTGTCAGCTTGTCCCCATTCACATCCCCTAGCACTGTCAGGGCTGCTCCAAAGCGACCCCAAGGATGGCCTTGCTCCCCACAGAGAACAGCCTTACACTGCCACTTAGCCGACTGCTGAACAAAATCAATGTCAGGCCCCAAGTTGGACAACCTCTGCACCCCACAGCTGAGACCCACCCAGCCGAGGCCCTGTTAATCACTTACCCTTTGGGGAAAGGGGCAGACAGACACCTGGCCCCCCCAGGCCTGCTCGTAGTAATGGGGAGCCCCAATGAGAATCAGGTCAGTGCTGTTATCACTGTCCACATCCACGGAGCAGAGGGAGGCCCCAAAGTAGGAGCCGATCTGGAGGGCAGAGCCTGAAGTCACCCTGCCTGCCCCTCCCAGAAACACCTTCTGAGCAAGGGTCCCGCCTCTCCCCAGGCACCAAGATCTTCCCACTGTGAGCTCCAAATCCTCTTGCCCACCCTCACATTCCATCCCAGCTTCCCCCATACCCAACCTGGGTCCCTGTGACTTCAGCCTGCAGCTTCCATTGCCTCAACACCTGGGTGAAGATGAAAACCTTTCCGGTGTGCTGGTGGCGGGGGGCACCCAGGACCAGGCTCTGCATCCCCTTCCAAAGGGCCAACTCAGTGGAGTAACCTGAGGGGGCCAGGCCTTTGCTTGTCCTTCCTTCCTTTGGTGTTCCTGCCCTTCCCAGGCAACTCACCTTCCCGTCCTGTTCCCCCTTCCCCCCAGCTCCAGCCTTTCTCACCCAGGTAAGAGTCTCTCATGTCCACATTCTCCTGAGACATGTTGATAAAGGTGGGGTTCATATTTTTGGAGTACAAGAAGGCACCTCCAGACCAGCTGAAGCTCCCTACAGCCCCCAGAACTGGTCCATCCTGGGAGTAAAGGATTCCAGGGCTGAGCAGGTTGGGAGAATAAATAGAGCCCATTCCACCTCAAAATGCCAGCCCTGGACTCATCCAGACACCCACCCTTGCCTTTCTTCTCCCTCCACCCTCTTTTCCCTTATCCCACACGAGGGGCCTGAAAGGAGCTCCACTCACAGGTGTGAACACAGCACTGAAACCCTCCTGGGACATCTCAAATTCAAAGGAAGTAGTACTTGTGGACTGCGTACCTAGGGGAAGGCAGGATACACCTCAGCTTTGGAAGGACCTAATGCTGGAAATTAATACCGACGAGGAGGGGCTGTTGCCTATGACATTGGGGTCTAGGTTCAAGGAAGACAAGCATTTATGGGTGAGGGTGTCCAAAGCAAGTAGCTCCATCTCTGACTTACCCTCAATGGCAAAGATCTTCTCCTTCAGTTGGGTTTGAATGTCTCTCAAAGCATCAAAGTTCTCCACTTGAAATATATGTTCTTGGGAGGGCTCCGATGTGATGACTTCTAATTCTTTCTTGGAAAGTGTCTTTTGAAAAGCCGATCCTACCTGTCCCCAGCAAAGGCCAACAAATATAAATAATAATAAATGTAATATGCCTACACCATGCTGGGCACTGACACCCTCCAATAACCCTGCAAGGTTAATATTATGCAACCCAGCGTACAGATGAGAAAAATAAGGATCAGACAGCATCAAGGAATTTAGGGAAAAGGGTTGTGGGCCCCAGAGTTGGGACAGAGTTTTTATCCTGAAGGTGGTAGGAGAGGAGAGAACTGGGATTTCTGTCCTTGAAAGGGAAGTTGCTTAGAGAGGAAGCAGTAGGAGGAAGTGGTGGGATGGCATCCCCAATTCCTACCCCGATGGCATAGCGAATAATGCCTGCTGCCTCAGACTTGTGGATGGCATTCTTATAGTCCTGGGGGTCACCTTCTTTCTGCCCATCAGTAATGATGATGAGGATCTTGGTGGCATTCTCACGGGCCCCATTTGTGGCACTGAACATAGTCTCCCTGTCAGTAAAGAAGGACATCTAGAGAGGCCTGTGAACAGAGCTACCGCTAGCCTCAGATGCCCTTGTAAAAACTAGAAAGAGATGCCCCCTCTTCTGAGAGGCCATGGTCGCACCAGAGGCACCCAGTTTGGTGAGAATAGACCAGGCTGGATTTCAGTCTCTGCTGTCTCTTTCTTATAGAGACAGATGAGGTCCAAAGGTAGACTCAGATGCTTTGGGGAAGGGCCTGAGAGAAGGCAGAACTCACATGGCCATTAGGATGGCTGAAGCTGTGTAAGTCAACCCTCGCAGTTGTTTCACACCATTCAAAAGGACTTGTGGGTCTGAGCTGCGTATGAAGTCACGGAAAGTGAAATGTTTCTGGAAACTCTGGGAGAACTGCATCAGGGAGAACTGTAAAAACCATATGGTGGTGGGGTGGGGGCAGAGACCATTCACCAGAAGCACAAAGCTCCTCCCAATGATGCCCCTCCCAGCAATGTCCTTCTCAGCAATCCCCTCCCAGCAATGCCCCTCCCAGCAGTGCCCCTCCCAGCAGTGCCCCACCCAGCAGTGCCCCTCCCAGCAGTGCCCCTCCCAGCAATGTCTGCAAACTTGCCTTCCCTCCCCTGAGGGCACACCTGGGTACTGGGTCTTTGGAACTGGCTCATCACAGCCTTCACAAAGTTCAACATTCTGGCAAAATCGTGTGGGGCGATGCTGCCTGAGCCATCAATCAGGAACACGATGTCCTGTTCCTGCTTTGGGCACTCTTGAGAAGGAGGCAGGAGTGGGCCTCCAAGGGACACTCCTCAAAGCCCAGGATCTCAGCCTCTTGGCCACTAGAACCCACTCCCTCAACACTCTCCCTCAGCCCCAGTGTGGCCCTGCGCCCTGGGTCCTCTCCTTGTGAGGAGGCAAGGCTTCCCAAACCCCCTGCCTACAATAGAGTCCTTCAGTCTCCCAAAGTCTCCTGAAGACACTACAGCTGTGATTCACCTGCTCACACCTGTGCAGCCAGCCTGGTTTATTAAAAAGTGAAAACTCCTCCAATCTTGATGGTAAAAAGCTGAATACCTTCTCCTTTCACTTTGGTGTCCCTGCCCCTCCCCTTAACATCTACCTCACCTCCTCCTTCAATGTCCCCAAAATCCCACAATGAAAGAAACCTGCTCAGGGCCCTGGCCAGTGTCTGTCCTCATTGGTCAGTACTGAACTGTACTTTTGTTAAATATTTTTAATGTCCCCTCTGGCAACAGCCACACACTGACCCTCTTCTGTTCCCAGCTTAAATATGGGCTCAAACTCCTTCACAGAATCACTATACCAAAAAGAACTGGTCAACTTTCAGCCATTTCAGGAGGTAATATATGATCCAGAACCAATCGTACTGAAGGAAGAAGTCCAAGCTGTGCTGAAGGCACTGGTGAAAAACAAAGCTCCAGGAATGGATGGAATACCAATTGAGATGTTTCAACAAATGAATGCAGTGCTGGAAGTGCTCACTTGTCTATGCCAAGACATTTGGAAAACAGCTACCTGGCCAACCGACAGGAAGAGATCCATATTTGTGCCCAGTCCAAAGAAAAGTGATCCAATAGAATGTAGAAATTATTGAACAATATCATTAATATCACATACAAGTAAAATTTTGCTGAAGATAATTCAAAAGCAGTTTCAGCAGTACATCAACAGGGAACTGCCAGAAATTCAAGCTGGGTTCAGAAGAGGACAAAGAACGAGAGATATTATTACTAATGTTAGATGGATCCTGGCTGAAAGCAGAGAATACCAGAAAGATGTCTACCTGTGTTTCATTGACTATGCAAAGGCATTCGACTGTGTGGACCATAACAAATTAAGGATAACATTGCTAAGAACGGAAATTCCAGAACACTTAATTGTGTTCATCAGGAATCTGTACACAGAACAAGGGGATACTGCGTGGTTTAAAATCAGGAAAGGTGTGCTTCAGGACTGTATCCTTTCACCATACTTATTCAATCTGAATGCTGAGCAAATAATCCGAGAAGCAGGACTATATGAAGAATGAGGCATCAGCATTGGAGGAAGACTCATTAACAGCCTGTGATATGCAGATGACACAACCTTGCTTGCTGAAAGTGAAGAAGACTTGAAGCACTTACTGATGAAGATCAAACACTACAGCCTTCAGTATGGATTACACCTTATTGGTCCCCACAACTGGACCAATAAGCAACATGAGGATAAACGGAGAAAATATTGAAGTTGTCAAGGATTTCATTTTACTTGGATCCACAATCAATGCCCATGGAAGCAACAGGCAAGAAATCAAACACCATATTGCACTGGGCAAATCTGCTGCAAAAGACCTCTTTAAGGTGTTAGAAAGCAAAGATGTCACTTAGAGGACTAAGGTGCACCTGACTCAAGTCATGATATTTTCAGTTGCCTCGTATACATGTGAAAGCTGGACAATGAATAAGAAAGACCAAAGAAGAACTAAGCATTTGAATTATGGTACTGGTGAAGAATATTGAACAAACCATGGACTGCCAGAAGAACAAACAAATCTGTCTTGGAAGAAGTACAGCCAGAATGCTCCTTGGAAGTGAGGATAACGAGACTTGGTCTCACATACTTTGGACATGTTATCAGGAAGGACCAATCCCTGGAGAAGGACATCATGCTTGGTAAAGTAGAGGGTCATCAAAAAAGAGGAAGACCCTCAACGAGATGGACTGAGATGGTGACTGCAACGATGGGCTCAAGCCTAGCAACGATTCTGATGATGGTGCAGGACTGGGAAATGTTTTGATCTGTTGTACATAGGGTCGGTATGAGTCAGAACTGACTCCACCACACCTAAAAACAACTCCCCTCCTGGAAAAAAGCAGTATCTTCCTCAGAAGAGAAACTCTTACAGCTCATAAAGAGGAGACCCTATTCCATTCCTACTCCCAGCTTCCCCGTTTTTCCCTGGAGACCTCCCACCACCAAAAGTAGGTATCCTGGGTGTTCTGCTGGGAGCCAGGATTGGAGGGTGGAGTCTGGACCCTAGGATGCACTGACAGGGGCTTCCTGTTCGGTGGTCAGGTGTCAGTCTCCCCAGGGGCCTCAGTTGGCCATAGATTGGGTCTGAAAAGTTCATTTTTCACCTCCTTGCCCTACAGGGAAGCACCAAGGAATCCAGGCCATATGCTTCAACCTGCACCAGCACACATGTGCACATAGATATGCACTGCACAGACTGCCTGCATCCTCACCTCTCTTTCTCAGCTTGCTGCACATGGTTTAAAAAAATCCTCTTCTCTCTAAAAATAGTAGCAGCTGGCATTTATTGAGCCCACAACGCATGCCAAGCACTGTGCTGAACCCTGGCCATGGATCATCTTATGTTACTCTCACAGTGTTGGGTGCATTATTATCCATTATTATCCCCATCTGACAGATAAATAAACTGAGGCTCAGAGAAAGTAAGGTCACAGGAGAGATCTCACAGCAGGCTGGTGAGGGACAAGGTGTGAAAGCAGGCAGTGGCTCCCCAGCCTGTGTTTGGAATGACTACACCACCCAATAAACATTTTTTCCCAAATATCTCCTTTCTTATCCACTCTGGCAAGAGTGTCTCTGGCCCCACCGCACTCCCATTTGGATGTGTTCAGGCTCCTCACGGGACCAAAGGCCAAGAATACTCACCCTGCAGAGCAGCCAGGCGTCTCTGGACCTGCTGGGAGGGGGAGGTTAGCAGGAAGCAGAACCCGGTCAAGTATATGTTCCTGTTGCATGCATGGTGCACAGTGGGGCCACAGGCCTGGGGAAAGAAGGGGCCAGTGGGAGAGACTGCCCCTGCTTCCTTCCCACCCCAACACCTCCATCTTCCCCAAGACTCCAAGCCCCAGCAGCCCCAAGTCCCCACTCTTCCCCTCAAGACACTACTGTGACCCAAAGCAACTCACCAGCAGCTGGGAGGGGTTGGTGGTGGCTGCCAGGGACAGGCCCAGGGACACGTTCACAAACTCTGGGGGAACTAATGGGAGAGATATGTACATGGTCACCTTAAGGGGCACAGAGGGGACTATAGTCACCTCAGCTGTGGAAGACAAGATGGTCTGAATGGCCAAGGGGGCTCCCAGGTATTGGCAGAGTTGTGGGGGTGTGGGGGTGCAATGGGCAGGGAACACTTGATGGGATTAGGAAGTGTGTCTGAGGATGAAGTTTCTGCAGACAGAGCTGAAGCTGGAAAGTGGGTCTCCTGGCCTCCCACAGGCCCCCAGACCTGGACCCAGTAAGGGACAGTGACTCACCCAGCAGAGGAAGAGGCTCACACTTGCCCATGCTGTAGGCACACCGGTAGAGGCCACCTGTTTGGTTGGAAGCCTTTACCTCCTGGGGGGCTCCAACCACTACCCTGTGGGGAGATGTAGAATACTGCAGTTGAAAGAGTGTGCACTCTGGAGCCAGACTGCCACTTGGCAACTTTACTTCACATCTCTGAAAACAACAATTAAAACTCCATATGGGGAGAAAATTGTGATTTTTATTTTTTGCTGTATGCCCAGCTCCTGAGACTGTGCCTGGCATATGTAGGCACTCAACAAGTATTTGTTGAATGAATGATTCCTACCTCAAAAGGTTGTTGTGAGAATTAAATCAGTGTCTACATATAACGTGCTTGGCACAATTCCTGGCCCTTAGTAAGAGCTCAATAAATGTTAGCTACGATTATTGTGACGGCAAGACAGCTCCTGTTTCTCTCCAAATATTCATAACCTTGGGGTAATTGCCACACCAGACAGAGAAGAAAGTTTCCAAATGAGGGGAAGTAGATGGGGAGGAAAAGAACCCCTGGGCAGGGAGAGGAGCTGGTGAGAGCCAGAGGTCAGTCAACACCAGTCCTCACCAGGAGTCGGCATACTGGACCACGCTGTGTCCAAACCCAGCGCTGTCCATGTGGAAGACTGTTGGCTGGTCCATGTCCAAGTTGAAGCAGAGGGAAGAAGGTAAGGCTGAGGAGGGCAGAAAGAAAAGTTCTGGAGAAGGGTATTCCTCCTGCTTCAGATCCCCTGGCTCCATCTCCCAGGTCCCCGGATCCCCAGTGTCCCCTCCAAGCCCAATGCCCAGAGTCTCCTTGTCTTCTGGACTCGCATGGTCAGGCCTCCCTCTGACCCCCTTCTCTCCTTCAGATAGTCCAGAGACAGCTCTTCGCCCACTGATCTGCCCTTAGGGCTCAGTTCTCCATCTCCACAAAGTGACACCCAAGCTCTAAAGGTGATCCTTTCCCACCAGTACCCCTAAGGCTTCTACGAGGGAGAGTCTAGGAAAACTTGGGGACAAAGGGACGCTGCAGACAGAGCACAGGTAGACTTGTTATGTCTATTTTTTAAATCTCTGGATTGTCCAGGCAACATCTCTTCTGGTATCCCTTGAACTCTCACAAAATTCGTTCTCCAATATCCCTTCCCTCCACAAACTCTAGATCCCAAGCCCTATGTACCAGTCTCCCCCTAATCCATGAGTCTAAAACATGTGTCTTCTTGTCTCTGTCTACCTGGACCCTAATCTCCTAGCCCCCGTTTTTTGGGGCCCCAACTTACCCATCAACAGAAGGAGAACTGTTCTGGTCATGAGTGGCAGGTCAGGCATGGGGCTCCAAGATCCAGGGCCACTGAGAGAATAGCTGGACCAAGACATCAAGGAAGCAAGTGAATAGAGAGGTGGTCAGGAGGCCAGAGGCAGGGAGGAAAGTCGTCAGCGTGACTCAGAGGTTAAGGGTGGAGACTGTGGTTTAAATGATCAGAGAATGGGGCCGGGCAGCCCACACACTCCCAGTTCAGAAGTCTTTCTAATCAGAGATGACTTGGCTTACCTTTCTTGCTGGTCAATCTAAACTCAGGTGGATGCAAATCCTCTGCCCTGTTCTGTTTCTCCCAAATTTTCTCCTTGTACAGGCAGAAGGCTCCCCTTGACCTTGAAAATTTAGTTAGCCTGGGGAGGGGGAAGAGGCAGATGCTGGGATAGGGCCAGAGCCCTCATAGAGACCCTAGTGAGATCTCTCCACTTCTGACCTGGAAACCTCTGAGTTGGAGTTGGGCATCTGGTCCCATGGAGGAGCACAGAGTGGATACCCATTAATTCATTCACTCATTTATTCATTGTTTATACCAAAACAAAAAACCTGTTGCCATGAAGTCGGTTCCAACTCATAGTGAACCTAGAGGACAGAGTAGAACTGCCCCATAGTGTTTCCAAGGAGCAGCTGGTGGATTTGAACTGCTGACCTTTTCGGTTAGCAGCAGAGCTTTTAACCACTGTGCCACTAGGGCTCCATCATTTACAGAACAAGCCTAACTGGAGGCTGGTTGTACAAGTCTTCTGCTAGGTGAGGGAGAAAACATAAACCACAAGGGTTCAGCCCTGGGGTAAGTGGAGAAGGAAAATGGGTAAACAGCAAGATCATTGCTATGAGAAGGGAAGCTCAGAGACGACCGGGGGTGCCCAATCCAGGCTGGGGAGGTGTGAGTTTCCAGGGTGGCTTTCTGAAGGAGATGGAACTTGAGCTGAATCTTGAAGGCAACTGAAGTCAGGAGACTACAAAGGAGCAGGTTTCTGAAAAGATAGCCAGATGTAAAAGAGGCAAGAGACAGGAGAGTCTGCTTGTGTAACAAGGTTAGTGATCGGAAGCGGAGAGTGGGAGGTGCTAAGTGGCAAGAGATAAAGCCAGAGCAAAGGAGGAGTGGAAGGGAAGCGAGCCCCTTAGGGTATGTTGATTTTATCTTGACGGCAGAGGGAAGCATTGAAGACAATTATCAGCGGTTTGAGATCATCCATATTTACATTTTAGAAAGCCAGGATGATTTAGTTGGGAAAAAGTCGGAGACAGATCAGTTAGGAGGGAGATGACGGGGGCCTGTAGGGTGAGCTAGTGGGACTGGAGGGGTACACAGGGAGTAGAATCAACAGGTCTGGTGGCTGACTGGACCAGGGTGATGGTCCCAGAGCTAGAGAGTAATGGAGGAGAATGAGGAGGGTGGGTTAGGCCAACTTTGGTTTTGAGAAGAACCAGACTATAACATTTAAGAGCTTGGACCCTTTCAACCTCTCTATGCTTCAGTTTCCTCATCTGTACAATGGATGTGATAACAAAAGTACCCACCTCCTGGTGTTGCTAAGAAGGTTGAATGAGTAAATGTGAAATGCTTAGAAGATGTGTAGCACATAGTAAGAGATTTTGTTATTGGCTATTAACATTATCATGCTTTGATAATTATTGTGTTGCATATGAGGCGTCTCTGGCGCCTCCAAGTGGAGACGTCCCAGAGGCAGTTGGGTATGTGAGTTTGGATCGCAGGAGAAAAGTCTGGACTGGAGACTTGTTGGAACTCTCGGCAGAAGTTCTGGATGAGATTCTGGTGAGAATGTGAAGAGGGAGGAGAAAGATGAGTCTGGGATGGATCCCAAGGAAACAAACCAATATTGGCAGCAGAGCAGAAGAGGCGCCCATGAAGACTGAAAAGGAGTCCTCAAAGATGCAGAAGGAAGCCCAGGAGGGAGAAGGGCATTGTGGCAAGGGAGCCTGGAGAAAAAGAATATAAACCATGTCATGGGCTACACAGATGCCAGTGAGGTAAGAAACAGAGAAGCCCCTAGATCTAGCAACAGAGGCCATTGGTGTCCCTGGAATTGGCCGTGCCAGGGTAGTGGGAGACGCCAGCTGGAGTGGGCTGAGGAGAGGACAAGGAGTGTGGCAGCAACTTTATCTGGAGATGAGCAGCCATGAGGAGATTTCAGAAACAATATAGTTGGAGAAAGAGCCCTGGAATACTTGCAGATGAGGAAAATCTGACGGTGTAAGAGTGGAGGGTTGAATTCCAAAAAGGAAATGGCTACAGAAAAAAAAAAAAAAAGAACAATGGAGAGGTGGTCTGATGGCCCAGATTCTGGAGAAGATGAAAGATGAATCAGAAACAACCCAGGCCAGAAGGCTGCAAGACCCAGGGCTGGTCTGATGGACAAGAGTGAATGCTAGAGAGGCCTCTGGCCTTCAAAGATACCAGGAATCTTGGCCTTTACATTGGCCCCTTTCCTCGGACTTAGGTTCCACCCTTGCTCAATGAGGGAGGAGTCAAGAAGACTGGATGAATAAGACCCCATCCCTTTTCTCAAGCTGTCCAACATACTTCCATGATTCTTCAGGCGCAGACAAGGTAAATTCTAATCAGAGAAAAGTCAAGGTAAGACATCTCACCTTTGGCAAGGACAACTTAAGATCACAAAAATGTATGACAGTACGTGTCCTTAATTCCACTCACCCATTTTACAGATGAGGGCAGTGAGGCTCCAGCCAAGTCCTTAGGGTATCTGCAACGGACAGCCTCATTTCAGTGAATCACAACTGTGACATTAAAAAACAAACAAACACAAAGGCAGCTAAGGCAGATGACATGAGCAAGGAAGTGTAGACATACATGTTACCCATCTCTTAATCCCAGTGGGACCATGACTAGCCACACCTAGTTCTATCCTACTGGCACCCCCGAGTCTGTGACAAGAGGTCAAGGGCAAGGAGAGGGTATGGGGGTGATTTTGGCAAGCAGCCAGTCTTTCCTACTGCTAGCGTTCCTGACTCAATAAATCTCTGCTCCATTCCTTAGCCCAGAGGTGCAGACTGAAGAAGATTTCAGCAGGACAGGTGGGCAGGAGTGGTGGTCTTTGGCAGATAATGAAAGAGAAGGGACCAGGTCAGAAGCAGCTGACTTAATTCAGGTTTGATTGCCTGAGCTAAGTGGAACTGAATAGCTTTGAGTCTTCTCTTGAGTCGTTTATTTTTCATGGGTGGAGAACAAAAGAGAACAGAAAACTGGTGGGCAGAAACCCTTGGGTTTCTTGGTCTGTTTCCACCCAATGCACACCCATGGGGTCTGAATGGATTTGGCCTAACATCCACCCCGCTTCTTCTTGCTACATGCAATCTGTTTCATTTCTCTGTCTTTGGAGAACAGTTCCCCCACTCTACCTCAAAATTTTCTCAAAACAGAATTATAAGGTAGAAACACACACAGAGGTGCTCAGGAAGAAGCTCCCCTCTGAAGCACCTGCTGTTCCCTGTACTCCCTGGGCATGGACTACTGGTGTGGTGGATGACAGGGGCACTGGAGGATTTTAGTCAATAACTGGGAAGCTTGAGGTGTGTAAGGGAGGAGCAGGCAGAGTGTAATCGCATCTTGATGACAGAACAGAAGATCTGTGATAGTATAAACAATGCAATTTATATGTATCAACCTATTTAATCTTCACAACAGGCCTGGGAGGGGGCTGTTATTATCCCCATTTTACAGATGCAGAATTGAGGCACACAGAAGTTGTGTTACTTGCCTCAGATCACTCAGTAAGTACAAGGTGGAGACAGGATTCAAACTCAGGTAGTGTGAGTCTAGAGGTGCCGGAGTCTTAACCACACTGCTAATGATTTTACTTGCTCCTCTCTACCCCATCTGCTGCCTGTGCAGCATTTGTTCTCTTGCCTATTCATCCCACACACATGAGCTGCTCATGTGACCCAGGCTCTGGGCTGGCCACTGGGGGAAGCAAGGTAAACAGGAAAGGGTCCAGGAGATCACACCCTAGACAGGAAAACAAAATACTCAGATACATTCAGATTAGAAGTTGTGCTAAACAGCAGAGTGACCCCAGGGAGGAAGTGATTGGCTCTACTTTGGCGGGTCTCAGAAGGAGATGCTTGGGGGAAAAGTGCCTGCCAGCTGTTGTAGTAAGGACTGTAGGCTTCTTCAATATCAGGACTGTGTCTTTCTAACCTTCCTATCTCCAACACTCAGCACCATGCCTGACACACAGGAAGCGCACAGCAAATACATGTTGCCTGAATGAAGTTCATGAATGACAGAGTGTTACCCAGACAAAAGGAGGAATTGGTTGCACAGAGGACCTAATAGTTGTAGTCTCAGTCATTGTTGCAGGTCAGTTATGTGCCTAGGAAATAGCCTTTGCTGCTTCTCATTGTTACAGTTGTTATAAGCTGAGGGCAAGGAGGGAGAGTTAACAGCCGGTCTTCCTTCATGAAAAATAAAAGGTGAGACCCTCTAGGTGATAGTTCACTGAGGGGAGACACCATGTGTCATTTCTCCTTGTCTTTCCAAGGATGAGCATTACGCTTGGAGTAGACACCATCAGGGGTCATTACATATCTGCTGGGTGTATGGATGAATGGCTGGTAGAAGGATGGATGAATGTATGTATGGACAGGTGAATGGACAGTCAGATGGATGAGTGGATGGGTGGGCAGATGGGTGGGTGGAAGGGAAGTCTACACAGATTTGAAGTTAACAAACCAAGTGCTCAGCCCAAATCAGCCCAGGGCTCAGTGGTATCACTAGAAGGGTACAGCGTTGGGGGGAAGGGAGTGAACCACACTGGGTAACACTGTCAGAGGGGAGGAGACCAAAATGACTGTCCATAAAGTTTTTGTGTAGTGTTTCAGTAGAAATTTATTACTTTTTATAAAAATATCCATTATAACAACAAAAACGTTTTTCATAAGCCCAGCTTACAAGTATCAATATACCTACAAGGCTAAAATCCTATGCTGATTTACTTTTTGAACCTTCTAATGTGCTCCAGTCAGAGCTGTCATTATTACCCAATTACAACGACGCTTCGAATCACGTAGTTTCGTC